ATTTAAAAAGTTATCTAAATGACTGTAGACTATCTCTTCCAAAACCTAAAATGTTCAGACAGGAACCTGTTTTAAACATATGATCATCACATTTTGCATCATGTTTTTGGGCCAGCGGTGTTTTCCTCTATTTGCTTCTCAGCTACAGGCCAGCCGCGTGAAGGCAGGGATGGACATGTTGGTCTCCACTGAAATATCTCAACTTTTTTTGATGGATTGCCATGGAATTCGGTGCAAGCATTCACTGTACCCAGTCGATCAATGCTGCAGACTTGATGATTACCCCCGATGCTTATCGACTCATTGCAAGCGATGATATAGCTCTGCTCGCTTGCTAAAAAGCTGGCTGACTGATTGATCGTTGGGTGTGCCACCATTACAGCCCTGAATGAAGACAGATACGGCAGCAGACTGGCAGCATTTATCGCTCTGCCTGCAGAAAGGTAAAGAGGACCTCCACCAGCACAGACACAAGTCTCAGGCAGATGCCACTATAAATAATGCATGAACAATAGAGCCAGAAGAGGAACCTTCCAGCAGCTAATTATTCAGCCCGACATTTTCAGCAACTCACAGAGAAGCGGCTGGATATGACGGAATCCAGGCCGCTCGGTGCATCTCGGTTCCAGGCCCAAACACAATGCTGTCCTATCACAGCGAGTGTACAGCTTCATCGCACTCAACCCCAGACAGAAGGGTGGGGATATTGTGTACCCGGACAAGCCGGAAGGTGCTTATGAAAAAGCCTCCCTGCAGTTCGAGGTAGCTGCCGAGCTTGTCCCAGGGTTTCTTTTTTGTTTTTTCCTGCAAAGCATAAACTGCTTTACGGAGCTTTTTCACAAGATCAACGATACGAAACAGCCTCTCCGCTCAATTAGGAATCATTCCCAATTGTATTAAGAGGCCAACAGGGTCTATTTTTTTCTCCGTTTCCACTGGCATTCAACTCCAGTAAAAGACATGCATGGTAATGACGCGGGGACATGAAAGCGTCTCTTTCCACCACTTCTGCCGTGATGTCATCAGTGTGCAATGAGCGGATTCGATAGGGTTATCTTCAGATGACTATCAGCTCATTTAACTGTTATGGTTTCTACCGACTTCATTTTCAACCCACACATCGTCTTTCAATTTCAATTGGAAATAGGCCTCATCATGATTTTTTTTTTTTTTACAGTCACATACTTCCTTCCTCTTGTTTTTTTTTTTTCTTCAAATTTTTCATATGCGGAATTATACTGGCCGTTAGCGAGGAAGCATAAATCCTTTGAGAAGCCAATAAATGTCTGAGGTTGATGACAAGAGCACAAAAACCCCCACAGCTGTTGACGTGTCTTAGAGCTCCGTGAGGGAGCTCAGTGTCGCCGAGGATGCAACTGAATGGCGTTCGCAGCAAACAGATGACGCGAGCTCCCACAGAGAGCTTGTTGATGTGGAATCAGTGCGAGCCGCTCCTCCCCATCTCAGACACAGCAGCAGGGATTTAAAACGACTCAATGAGCCATAGCTGGATGAAGCGTAGGTTGCTTATTAGCGCTCAATTAGCTACTGCTACATGCTTGCTGACCTTGCCAACTGACCTGGCCAACTATTTCATAGATTGTTACAGTAGAAGACATTTGTGTCCCGCAAGAATTGGAGTAACTTGACAAATCCCTTAACTTTTTCTTCCGGCACATCTAGTTATTCTATGCTTGTAGATCGAGACATATAGACGCTTTTGGTCCAATTTAAGGAACCACTCATTGTTATATAATTGGATTTATCAAATTAAACAGTGAGTAGACAATTAGGCCAATTATGATGTACTCGGTGCTGACCTCGAGCCATTTACCTGAGAAAGTTGTGGCAATTTCCCCTCATTAAAAAATGAAGCAGGCAGCAGAGCAGGTGCAAACCTTAAAACGTCCTCTGTGGATGTCTTTATGTCTGCACGGCTCCTTAATGAGTCCCTTCTTTGCATCGCTCAGAGAGGTGGTTGATTTTGGCCGCGAATGAACAGCCAAGTATTGTTCGCGCCGAGCAGATCCACCCCGACGCACCAGAATGCAAAGTGGAACTCGTGTTGAGATAGAAAAAAAAAAATATATATATATAAGAAGCAGTCAAAGAAGCGATTTAACTGATCAGCTGATTCGGGAGAGATGCAATCAGCTAATTATAGCCGAGCTTAATTCGTGGACATTTGCAACCTGTCGGCCTCTTTTGCGTAGGTGAATTCTGGGCAAACATAAAAGCGGGGGCTTCTACGCAGGGGGAGATCTGATGTGTTGACATTCGCAGGCAGCCATGATTACGGCCTCCTACATTGATGCCTGTCATAATGAGGCTCCAGAACAGCCTGCAACCTGCTGTTGATTATCCCGACACCTCCTGTCTCTGCAGCTGTTTTTTTTTTTTTTCCTCTCATTATGGCTCGCCTATTCATACATGTACGGTGGTCCAATCAGAACACCGGTGAGCTCGATCCAACTGACACCGCTGCTTGTGTAATGCACACGTGGGGATTTTTTTTTTTTTTTTTTTTGAGATGCACTTTCAATATGCTCGCTGTTGTCACACCAACCGTTTTGCCAAGACAGCTAGTAAACAAATAAAATCATTTGCATTTCAGATGGTGTGTCTCACTCGCGCCGTGCAGCACAGAATCGACGCACCGAGCAGAGAGGGAAAAATCAAGTCTCCTCTCGTCTAAGGATCAACATTTCACAAGCCGGTTGGTTTCCACCTGTGTCTTGATTGGGTTGGTGGAATTCAAACGTTAACTGTACATTTTAATTTGGTGGTTTTTATTCATCGCGTGAACCTCTGTGGCGCACTAGATGGCGCTCTGAGGCCCACGGGTCGAGAACTGAATATTTCATTACCTTTTGAGTTCTGGACTACGTTCTACTACACACATGTGACTAAACACACACACACACACACACACACACACACACACAGAGTAGATCCCCAAAAAGTATCCACCCACATACTGAGACTGAAATGGTTGAATGGTTTCACAAGTTTACATCACAGCAGAATCATTCCACTTAAATGAAATTGATTAAACAGATTGGCTTTTCGCTTTGACATTTACCAAACTCTCTCTAATGATCGCTTGAAAAAATAACTAATTAATCTTCTGGGAAGTCAAAAAACAAGAAAAAGTCAGAGAGGTGAATATTTTAATTAAACACGAGTGATGAATGAATAACTGATTAGATGAAGTCCTGAAAGATACAGGTCATGCTGTGGGCCCCTGCAATCGCAACCAATTACTCCATCACTAGCAGCATTGTGTCACCAAGATGCACCAATCAATACCTTTTTGAGGGGATTGTGAATGACATGAGGTGATGGTTTCCACCGACATCGAACATGTGTTGAATCCAGATGCAAATGAATTCAAAGCACGGCAACCAGTTTTGAATAAAACCTCCCAGGAGAGCGTAGCGCGTATGCCCCAAATATTCAACAAAAAGCCCCACTGGAAGGCCCGATCCCTCCCAGTCCGTCCCCTGACACACCAATCCAATTAGACAGGTGAGGGAAAACCAGCCAAGCCAGTATGCAAATGTGCATGGCAGCAAAAATATGCCATTCCATAACAAATTTACCCCCCGCGAAGCATTCGGGACTCTCGGGGGTCCGAGTGAAGAGGGGCAGATGCCTGCACGTCACAGAGCGCGGTCAAAGGTAATGCATGAGCCGCCTGGCTGACATTGATAAGAATATCCGCCTGAGTCGAAATTTCTCAGCAACGAGATCAAACGGTCCGTTGTCAAGGTAGAGGCTTGGATCTAAGGACGGTTGCTAACCAACTCCTCCTCTGACATCCTTATCCCCTCCACCCCCCCCCTTCCCCGTGTGTTCTGTCTTTTGGTACCAGGGAGGTTATCCCACGCCCGATCCAATAACCTGATGACCCCCCCCAGCCAAGCTCACAGCCCGCCCATCTCACACGTACCCTATCGCCTGCTGAATGAGTGGCAATGCGAGGTATTACACTATAAAAATGGGGCAGGTCATTTAAACCCGTGGGGGTCAACTAAATTGAATTGAGTTATGGCGAAATGCAATATGTATTCCTCGATTGTGACCTGATAGGGATAATGTACATTTGTCTGTTTACCAGCAAACATTTGGCTAGAGATGCACCAATCCAAACACACAGCATCAGCATCTATACCGACCTAAATAAACTTATCACCTTAGAAATTAAAATTAGAAACGTAAATTTGTGGGAAAAATTGAGGTATCGGAAACCTGAACTTATTTGATCCACAGGGTAAATCTGTTTAAATGATCAGTTGAAACACCAACATTTATAAGGTATATGAATGGTACAACGTTGCACGCGAGCTGATATGAAATAATTCCATCCATTTTCCTTCCATCCAACCTTCGATGGTTCGAGATAAGATCACCGTAACTCAGTCAATGTGAAGAGAATCAATAACCTTTTACAGCCAAGAACGAACTCTGAACAACAAACAGATTCCTGTGAGATTGGAATGTTTGTTCCTTTATTCTTTGTGATTATAGGAATTACACACCGGGTGTATAGCTTATATTTTGTGTGGCCGATGTTGATCAGTGAATAAAGACACTGTTCTGAGGAGCTTGGAGAGACTCGTGACAGATTTCCTCTGAGTTGCGTGTGATTCACTCTCTCATAATAAGGTCTAAAGATAAAAGCGTCGATTCTACAGTAAAAACGTGATATATGAAATGACATATGATGATGAATGAAGGCACAAGAGGATGAAATGATCAATCATTCCAGACTCTCTCTCTCTCTCTCTCTCCAGTGACACCTCCATCTTTTATAAGTTATCTCAGCACAACAAACCGCTTAGTATTGCGCGCGTGAGAGCGCTCCAGAGAGTCAGCTGTGCGCAAAAAATAAATAAACAAATCACCTGAGCGAACCTCTCCACGCGCATCACGAGCCGGAGACACGATCGCAAACACCTTTGCGACCCCCCCCCCCCCCCCCGGAGAGCGCCACTCACGTCTCTGAAGCGATTCCCGTGTTTCGTCTTCCGCCCGTACTGGGAGATGGTCGAGAGGCCATGGTCGTCCCTCCATGAAATTCTCGGCTTTCGCGCCGCGCTCTTTTCCACTTTTCACGTCCACCTTGAGCGAGAAGCCCCACAAGCAGAGACAAGGGTCGCGACGGGTCCCCGAGACCACCATGACGCTCGGGCAGCTTTGGCGCGGGGTGGATGTCCTGATGTCCTGATGTCCTGCTGCTGCTGACCGCTGTCCTCTGTCCTCTGACCGCGGATCCGCGCACACGACTGCTGCTGCTTCCACGGACTGAATAGAGACGAGAGAGCGAAAGAGGAGAGGAGGAGAGGAGAGGAGGAGGAGAGGAGGGGAGGAGGGTCCCGCACCAATCATTTATCCCCCCCACACACACACTCACACACAATGAATCATACAAATAGAACCGATGGTTTTTATTTTTTATTTATTGTATATTGAAAAGGCGGTTTGGGAGCCAATAAATCAATCAAACAACATAAAAGAAATGTTTGATGTCTGCTGGATGAGCAGTGGGGACCAAACAGGAGTCTGTGGATTGCTGAGGGGTCACCGAAGGACCCCCAAGTGGCCTCAAGGCAAATTACGCCCAATTTAGCTTAAAATGAGTGTGATTTGGCTCTTTTATTTTTATTGGCAGTGCAGTAATTTTTATTGGCAGTGCAGAAAGAGATTGTTTTAGAAGGACTCCGGTCAGTCGAAACTTCATTAAGGAGCTATCTTTTAATTATTTTAGCTGTTTAAACAGCTCATCCTAATACAATGTTAAAATGTAAATTTAACATTCTTCTTGAATTTCCTTTTAAAGCAGCTTGTTCCAGGAGCACAAACTTGAGCGGCAGCATCCCAGCTACGCAGAGTGAAATAATAAAATCCAATGTTAATGTCACCATTTTTATTCAATATTTTCATTGAGATTTTGATGCATTTTAAAGTCCAGATACAAAAGGAAGAACCACAGTTTTTTTAATGAGAAACTATAACAGGACCGACAGTCCAAAACCTTGTTCCTACCATCTTACCACCATCATCATGGTGTCATGCAAAGGAGCGTTGAGGCTCATGCTTTCTATTTCCCGTCATCTTGAACAATGGCCGTCTGCAAGGCCCTTTAAAACGAGGGTGGATCTGTTCAGAAGAAGGTTTCCAATAAGGCCGATTAAAGCTGCTGCTGATGCTAATTCTTCTTCAAGAAGGGTTTCGCCACACCGGCACATCATTTTTTCAGCCTACCCACGTTATTCCTCTCTGTGACCTCGCTCCCTTCATTCTCCATTTCATCCTCCATGAAGATAAACGTGATCCAGCACTGCGCTCACATTCTTTTAAGCGTAAGGTCACCGACGTTGGCCGAGGCCCAGCATATAGCCAGAGGCCGGATCCTGTGATGCTGACGAGTAGACCCGTCCGACTCCGACACTGGCATCAAACCAGTTGGATGTGGCAGACGCTGGCCTTCCTGACTGTGCACAGCTTCAGAATCGGGAAACGAGGGCAGCAGAAGAAACGTCCCCCAGCGTCGGCCAGCTGTGCACGTCAACCGTGCGAGGTGCTGGACATCGAGAGGTTCGCCGCCAGCCGCGTCATGACCAGGATGGATGTGATGCAGACTGATGGTCACGCAGCTGGGCATGTTTTCTGCATTGCAACATTCAGGGTTTTTAAAGAAAGGGTTCGGGGGCCGCGATGTCAACGGGAAGCTTCATAGGGTTTATTAGGTAACGGCACAAAGCAAAGGAGTTTCTAGCATGTTTGTTGTGCTTCGCTGATCACATTCAGTTCACATTATGATCAATATCTACCAGATTAATCACTCTTAGCTGTGATGTGGACCCTACTTATCTCTTTAAACGGAGCAATACGAACCATGGATCCGTCTAGGCACCCGATGTTAATCATCTGTTTACTATCAAATCACTATTTCATACATTACCATTCGTGCCGTTCAATGTTGTAGTGCGAAATTGCAGATGAGGCACAAATTATGTAAAACATCCAGGCAAAAATACTCAAGCAAGGAGCAAGAAGGAAAAATACTGACCTGTCCGGCATAAAAATGCTGCACACAACTAGGCAGTGTTTATCTTTTTAAAGCAACGTTCAGATCTGAAAAATGTTCTATTCAAGAGTACCGAATACCACACATGAACCATTTTTCCCCATCCTTCAAATATTATCCTTTTCTCAGTATTTCTTCTCCTACAGAACACCGCCCAAATGCCACGAGCACCTCGGCAGCCTATGTGTGGCTCAGAAGGATGGTTTTGTTAATGAATAGTAAAATAGTTCTCAGTTGTTTAATGATGAGATGCTTGAATACGTGCAGAGAACAGTGATGTATATATTATATTAACAAAGGACGTGAGCAGAGTTAATAACTTGACTAAAATGAAAAGTCTTGCACACACCATCTCTTACTTCTGGGACTTATTTATTTATGACATTTGAATATGGGCAGTTGAGTTTTTAACCTCATACAATGTAACTTCAGAGCTTTTGGAGTAATTATACCGGTAAATAAACTCACAACATGGGTCGATGGATTTCTCATCCACACCTCTTTCCATTTTTGTGATGACTGAAGCGATAAGACGACGACTTCGCCGTTCTTAATCCCACCTCTGATTGATCGGCTGCTCCACCTTACAGGCCAGACCTTGAACCCCAGCAGATAAAGCCCATCTGAATCCCATATCTTAATCCCCGAAAACAAGTGTGTACGCATCGGCACAGGGCATAAATCCCCATATCTAATATTTTAAGTTTGATGCACCTCCACTGAATGTTTGTGGGGTTTTTTTTTACACATTACTGTCACGCTGTGGAAGAGTGCGTTTAATTGTGAGGGGATTAACAGACGTGATCACTCCGCCGTATTGTCGATAAGATCATCTGTACAAAACGAGTCAAGCGGAGGAAAGCTTAATACGAACAACATCAGACAACACAGCTAGCAGAAGAATTTGAAGGGTTTCTTATCTGGAAATATTTGGTCTACAACTGTCAACACGTCCGTTTGCTCTCGCCAATAAGGCCCAACAAGCGCTGCTCTGCTTATCATACCTGTAAATACGACTATGCACTTCAGGATGCTCCTGGTGCACAGCAATTAAATGCAACAGGCAATTCCTGCACAATGTGAAAAATGAGGCGTCTCCGTGTTCCCATGTGATTCTGGCTGCGGGTCCATTCCTGTTGCGTCACGTGAGGTTTCTTTCCCAGCGATTTACAGTTGTTTGCCAGACACACTGAGCACTTCCTGTTGGGCTGCCATGTTGATCCGCCACCTGCAACACAGTCAGGGATCAATATTGTACTTTAAAGCACCCTGGGGTGCAAAATAAACCACTGCGTTGCGTTTCTGTTTTTTTTCGGCAATTATTTTGTCAGAAAATAGTGAAAAAAGTTGAAGGTGAAATCATCAGAATTGTTGTTTTGCCAGACAAGCAGACAATCAACTAAATATGTGCAATTTAAAATGGAATAAAACCAAATAAAGCAGCAAAGTGAGTTGGAATCGTTTGACATGTTTGGTTAATGTGTGAAACAATGAACCAATCCTAATAATCAACAATCGACAGAATAAAAACATTGAATTCTAATTAAGGTTTATTTATTATAATTTATTGATTTAAATATTGAAGCGACAAGAGAAATAGTAATACAGTCAAAATACTTAAATTTAAAACGAATTATTCATGTCAGTGTGTTTAGTGTCTTAAGCTTTATTGAATCCTTCGTATTCGGTCTTGTAATTTCTCTGTACAAACAAACCATTGAATACTGACGACCGAATCAAACAAAACAAAGTTTAGTGTGCGCTTCTTCGCCAAAAGCCACCACGTTCTTTGTAGAGCAGCTTCTGTGACGGCGGCTTCCACTGTAAAAAAAAGTGGCAAAGCAAGTTCCTGGAGAGGAGAGACATTTAAAAAAAAATTTTTAAAAAGGAGAGAATAGACCAAATTGAGAGGCATTTCATAGTCATCTCGAGTGACTTACAGCTGTAAGTGGAGCTGCTCTAAAGGCGTATAGATCTAATTCAATTGGACTCAAAGTGGGTCACACAGCTATTAGAAGTGCAGATGATAGCGGTCAGAAGGCAGTTTGTGTTTGCCAGGAAAGTACTGAGGCTGCTGGTTTGGTACTCGCGGGCAGCTGCAGCACCTTTTTTTTTTTTTTCTTCCAATTGATTGTACACAACAGACAGAAGCCGGTTAATATTCGGAAGCATTCTGACATGCTCGGTCTCGGCAGATCATTTATTTTCAGTCTGCACATCCAGCTTATACCAACTCCTATAAATGACAAATCCCTCATCGTTTCACTACTCTGCCTCCTTCCAATAAGAAACAGCATTAAGTGCTGTGTGGAGGGATGAAGAGGATGGATAAAACACTCAGTCAGGAGGAGGATTTATTTAACGGTTTCCAGTATTTTGGCTGTTTGCTGGTGAACGCGACCAAACATTTAGCTGCTAAAGAGACAGCTATTTCCCGCACGAGTTGGTGGAGATCCAAAACGGAGATAAGAGGAGAGCGGAAATTGGACTTCTGTTTGTCAGGTGGACAGAAAACGGGACTGTAAACAACTGCTAATGCTGCTCCTTGTCTGCTGCATGTGGAAATACGCAACTGTTTGCGAACACAATATGTTATAAAGCTACTTTAATGTGTGGACTGACTAAAACGTTTTGTGGAGGCTGTCATCGTACCTTTAGGTTGGTTCTGTTCCGCAAAACATTCACTAGTTCCAAGCTACTCAAACATGAGGATTGGTTGCTCTCCATTTTCTATCATTGTTCGTGGAGCATTTTTGATCACAAATCGTGATGATTATCCATAAAGGTAATAGAGACGAATTGATAACAAAAGACCCTCCTGGAGCAAAGTGTACATACAGCAAACAGCAGGCCTGCTGTTCAAACACCATCCTCCAGCAGGCGGCCTGCAGACTCGCCGCTCTGAATGACAAAGAGCCGCCGCACGCGATCACCTGCCTCCTCGCCGGAGACGCCGATTTAGACATTTCAAATACTCGGGCCCCACCTGTCCGTCAAGGCCGTGCGTGGCCATTAGTGACGGGTGGAGGGGGGGGGGGGGTAATTAGTGTGACATTGAAACGGCGGCGAGACCCCACCGGAGAGTCACATCCAACACAGGGCAACGGTCAAAAGTTGACAATGTCCGATTTGAGAAATCCGTTGGCTCCGTCTAGCGGGACCATTCGCGGTGGCACCTGTGTCGATCAAAACGAACCTCGAGAGACAATCCGAGGAGTTTGGAGCTTGTTAAAAAGGGGAAAAACACAACAGCGCCCGCCGACCGAAATGTCAGCCCGCAGCTTCCTCGCAGTCAACTTTACCCTTTACCGTTAATGGATTCATATCCGAAGATGAACAAGATCAACATTTGCACCTCAAAGTACACATGGGTAAAGCTTACAGCGCCCTTAAGAAGTAATTAGACACTCGTGTGTGTGCGTGTGTGTGCGTGTTAGTATGCCGCGCGTACAAATCAAACATATTCTAGTGCGTTAAAAAGGTCACGTCTGTCGAACATCGTCTTTCCCTCCTCCAGCAGATGTTAACGCCGGCGCTTCATTTCGAATCACACGACGGGAAATAGTATAGTGAGGTTATGAAAATCAAGCGGTAAATGTGCTTTAAGAGTTTGACAATGGATCAAGTAAAATATAATAAAAAGACATTGTACTTAGAAAACTGGCATGAAAATAAAAATAAATCAATATGCAAATTGGATGGAGGCCTAAACAATAAGACTTCGGCTACCAAACATGAATGAATGCTCATTTGGTAATGGTTCAAAGTTATGTGGGCTCATTTAAAATGATGGCTTTGCTTTAACTTCTTTCCAAATCACAGCCCTTTCACTATAGAAAGAAACAACATTGCAAAGTCTGCTTCGAAGCGGCCGTATCTTTCTCATATTCAATGCGTGTAACAAAATAAACACAGAGACAACTAAACCTTTTCAAACGCAGGTTGTGGGATCTTCAGAAACAAAATATGGAAATGGGTTTGTTGAAACCACCGACAAGACACCAAGATCTCATCTATCCGGCTCATAGCGAGGAACGTGTGCAGTCTCGGCATCTCAGGGGGGGGTCAGGCTGGAAGTTTCTAGAGCAGGAAGCAAAGAGCTGACTAATTAGGGTGAGAGATGTGGCAGGGACTGAGAAAGGATGCATGTCGGGAAGTGCGTAAGCAACCTCACCCACACACGGCACAAAGCTTTGCAAGTCTATCCAAATCATTTCTCGTGGCATATTGAAATCTGCAGAAAGAAAACAGTAAACTGTATGTAGTGCGCATTATTACGGCTGGCCAATCATTTATCTTAGTTCATGAATTAAAAAAAGGGCAAAACATACGTTTCAGCTTCTCAAATGTAGAAATCTTCCACTTTTCTCAGTTTTACATTAAATATTAAATATCTCAGAGTCATAACTTTTTGTTGGATCTTGCATTGAGTTGTATTTAAAACATTCAACATGGGGTTTGGATGGATACAAGTTTGTAATAAAATTATGAATGAAAGTGTATATAAAACCGTAATAATGAATAAATCTTCAAAAAGGAGAAGTTATAATTGTTGAAAAATAAAACTTACATATATAAACATACACATTTTGTTTTTGTTGTTATAAATCATTTATTAAGTGTCTGCATTTAACGTTTACTGTTTTCCCCATTTTCTCAACCACTGAACGATACTGCATCCCTTTGCAATATGTGCAACAAAACACACGCGCGGCAAAAATACACAGAATTTAAAAGTCTGTAGACGACACACGTGTGTGTTTTCAGCACGATCATTAGTGAAGACATCTGTCCGACGCATTTTTAATAATTTCCCTGGCGCACATTCTCAATGAATTTCATTAGCTTGCAAGTCACCTTCTCTCTCTCTGTCCCTCTCTCTCCCGCTCCGCGTGCGTATAAGAGCGGGTTGGCAGTTCCCAGAATCCTCCCTGTATCCGTTACCTGAGAGTGGCATCATGCGCGTTGTGTGCTCCCACGCGAGCGCGCTCTCGGAAGACACGAGCGGTTAATAGGCGGCTCTGTAAAAATACATTTCCAATGTCGACCCCACGGGCGGCTCAATGGCCGCCTGTTTTCCGGGGATGTCTATTGCATGTCCCGGTGTAAAGGCGTCGGATGACATCCCCCCCGGACACACAAAAATTGGTTAAGGGAAGGGGGGGGGGGGGGGGGGGGGTCACGCCACTGAAACGGGAGAGCCGAGCTGACAGACAAAGCGACGCCCTCAGTTTTCATCAGTGTAACTTTTTGCCGCTCCTGCACGCCGAGCACATCGCCTGCTGAGGGGAGGGTTGAGAAAGGCCATGACGACGATAGAGAGGGAGGGAGGGAGGTTGCACAAGTGGTTCGGCGTCTGTATTCACTGACACACTCGACAGACGGGAGTGGGAACAGGGTTGTGGCTTCATGTGGGGACGACACTGATAAAAGAGGTGGAGAAGAAATGAGAAGAAAAAGACATGGTGTAATAAATCATGTCAGTGACGCATTAACACATTCATGAGGCGGCGAGAGGGAAAGGAAGTGGGTAATACGGGGTTATGATCAGCATGAAACCAGAATCTTTCCAGAAACTTCCTATTTCCTAAATGTTTAAGTCTCACTACCGGCTAGCAAAAGCCGGAGTTTGTTCAAGGAGTGTCGAGAAAAGTCTGATCAGCTTCATCGGCTGTCATCGCTGACGGGTAAAACATTTCAGAGCACGCCATCACCACTGACGTTAGGTATGAGCGGACTGAAAGTATCGGCCCGAAAACACCTTGCGAGGATGGACAGGCGAGGGCATTTTGACAGCTCGTAGGGAAACCCTCGATTCAATCGTTGACAAACAAGTGAAAGAAGTCTAATCTGTAAGCGCATTTAAATTTGATATAATATTGGTTAGTTTAATACGTCACAATGCATGTGTTCATAAATGCATCATGTTCTGTATGCGTAACGTGCAAGATAACTGGTGCAATCGCTTGGCTGGTAGCAATATGAAAGGGATCAAAGCGTTTGCCTCCCACAGCGTAGCGGCGACGGACTCAGCTGTGTTATCACTTGCCGACTAAGAATGGCGGGTGAGGAGTTCATGTGCAGTCTGAACATTAAAAAGGTGTTTTGAGTAAGCGTGAATCAGCACTAGCACGAGAGGTCTCTGAGCATGCAGGCACAGCCGCCCTCCCAATGTTCAGTAACAGAAGTAGCCGTGACACAAGAGGTGCACACTCACTCACAGACGCATGACCGCGATTAGTAATCAGTGAGGTACAAAGTAGCAGATCAAATGATGAAATGAAGAACAGTACTCGAGTAAAATGTACTCTGCAGGCTGTTGACCAGTTTGCTCAACAAGACGTCCCATTTTATATATTTGATATCTCTACAGAGATACAAGTGTGACATGAATGTGAGCTGAGTATCTTCAATCCACATTTCACATTTCAATCCACAATTCGCACACAACGACAATCATTTCCTCCTTTAAGAGAATACGTAACCTTACATTAATTTACTGTGACTCCCATGCAAAATCTGTCCACTATGAACAAATACTAACCGTTACGTTTTTATGTAAATTCTCCCTTTGTTAACGTTCCCTTTTTGACGGCCTGTTCCATTATAAATGTATTTCATTTATTTTGAGGGTGTTTGATTGAGACTCCCTGAAGAGAACCAATAGTTTGAAGGCTTATCAACAAAAACAGAATTGTGACTAACTTACTGTAAGCATTTCACAGGGATTTTGCACGTCATCTTTTGAGTGCAATTTAGTCTGAACTTTCAATAATCTTGTAATCGAATCATTATTTTTTTTTATTGCATGAACTTTTCCCACTGTGTTTCAGAAAAGACATTTGGGAATTTGGTTACAGATAAGGTGCAAGTCATTTGCCAAATAAACAAACAAAACAGAAAAAAAAACCATGCTGCCACCTACTGGACGACACCGCAAACTCATTCACTGTGCACCTCAGAATATGCTCCATCTCCTTGAAGCTCATGAGAAGTTGGTGCTTCCTGCAGACGTGTAGTAACCCGAACAATCTGTCGAATATCTCTGGGACAGCCGGACAGAGTTCAGCTTAAACTCTCCAAAACGATAAACAGCAAATTTCTGTAATGACAACAACACATATCTTTAAATAATGAAATATAAACACCTTTAACACAAAACATCATCATCATCATACCTTATTTGAAGGTACAACACACGTCCCAATTAAAAAAGTGTTAGTTTAGCAATTAAACCAAACCTAGAAAAGTCAGCACTGTGTTACACAATTAAACCCGACTTGTCTGTGGAGAAAGAAAAGAAGCAGTCACTCAAAAAGCATGGCGTTACCATGGTTACAGGCGACTGAGCACAACCCCGGAAAATGAAGGATTTTGTTATTCAAACAGAAGATCTTATCTGCACCAGAAACCAGAGGAAGGGGAATTGAAGAGCTTTTTTTGATCTGCAGTGTCAACTTGGTGTCACATTTAGGTCAGACTTAAAGAAACTTTAAGGTCTTTGACAAGTGCTACTTTACTGGGACACTAAGCGACATTAAACATGTGTAACACCTGCGCCTTTCCTACTGTGGCATGTAAACATGATTGCTTTAAAAAAGTAAAATAAGAAGAAGCCAGGGTTGATTGTTTGGCTCAAAAATAATTTCATACTCACTGGAGATTTATAAAATGATGTGATATATGTGATATAAAATACGGGCGACCACAACTGCCTCCCAATAGATCGGGTGCGTTAACTTCTAATTATTTATAGCAGATGGTGTTGGAACATTATTCTTTAATACCAGCCTGAAATCATAAAACCCTTATGAGTGGTGGGAATGAGTCAGCCCCAAAAAAACCTGTTAGTCTCCCATCTGATCTACAGCAGAGTCAGAAAAACCTAAACTGCTCTATTTTTATTTAGCAGGCTGTTACTTCCCAAAAATACTTCGAAAGCTGCGGAAATGTCGACCATTGTCAAAAATACCTTTATACAATGTGCAGGTTTATAGTTCATTTGAACAAATATTTACCACTTCTCATCTTTCTCACAGTATGTTTTTAGCATTTCAAATCAAATTGAACCAAAAGTCTGAATGTTTGCAATCCCGCAGTACTCAAAAACACGGACAGGAGTAACTATTTCCTCCAACCTTCAATATGTTTCTGGCATCAAAAGCTTCTCGTTCACTCTTGGTTTGTCTTCCGGGACCGTCTGTGTCTTCAACTGCAAAAACACCAGAAAGAAAACACAAGTTAAAAAAAATATATATAAAAAAAAAAAGTGTCCCTCCTGATTGAATTGACATGCTTATTGGTGCTACAGTGGAACATAGCAATGTGTCACGGTCAGTTAGTTGCGAAACAGGCGCTAAGCAGTAGAAAAAAAACACCAGATTTTAATCGTCTACATTCTGGCAAACATGCTCAGCAGTGACACGGCCCCTCCCATGTGTGGTGTGGTCGGTCCGCTCTGTACAAAATTATAGAACTGAAGCTGGACGTTATCCAGGGGACAAAATAAATGAAGCCATTGTCAGAATACTTGGAAAAAATGCCATCTGGCGCACGTAAACAGAGCTGCGGCCAAACGGGGCACTCGCAGCGCAATCTCCAGGAATTTGTTGTTGTTATTTAAGATTCAGCTTTGTCCTCACTGCAGCTCCGGTCCAAGAAAGGGAATAATGGGCCGATGTAGGAAAGTCGGTCGAGGGGACGAGCTACCAATGACGTCGCAACAGGTCAACAGCCTCGTTGCCAGTGGCACGTCGGGCTGCTTCCGTATAACGTCCTTCTTTACCTGTGGCGTCCTTTCTGAACAGAGTGTTCATCACAGTGGCGTGTAGCTTCACTCTGTCCCACTCCCTGACCATCAGCCCCGCTGAGACAAAGTGCTCTACCAGCCGGTCCGCGATCACCTGCAACCTTACGAGCAGCAATATGAAAAAGGGAGGGGGGGGGGGGGGGAAAGGGGTTGTGTCAAGTTGAATGACTTCTCACATGATTTGTTAATGATCCACTTACTTGTCAGATTTGTCTTTCACGTTGACTTTGGCATACAAGACGTCCACCATGGCCGGGTCGTCATTCATGTACTCTACACCCGTCACGTCCAACGTCAGAGGATTTCCTCCTGTGATTTCTCTGGAGGCAGACAGTGAAAAGCAGATTGCAGCACTGGTTTTCAGACTCTGAACCTTCAACAATAAAGTGGTTCCTCTGTGTGGTACTCCAGGTCATTTTCTTGTTTGTGTGAACCTGAGCGCACATATACGCAAGAGTAATCGCATGTCATGTTTAAAAAAATACAAGTACAATTTCATAATAGAATTAGATTTCAAAGAATGAGGCAGGTGTTTTTTTTTTTGTTATTGTCAACAAACATCATGGATGGAAGCCTGTGTCTCAATACATGCCAATTTACCCGACCTTATCTGTGGCAAGGACTCAAGACTCATTACTCAAGATGTTGACCTCTACAAACTTGGCACATAGAGACTTTATTAAAAAAAAAAAAGGCTACATCATGTCTTAAAATAGCTGGACACTGTGGTTTTAGCGAACGTGACTCAAACAGGAAATACACAACGTTCTGCCAAGGATTTAGCGGTAGTGAGACCACCACAGATCCAAACATAGAGATACAGACTGAGGTTTGGGAGTCAGTTCTGACTCGTGTGTTTGTGGCTGTGTATCTGTGGCCCACAATGCAAAGTGGCACACAGCAGTCCGTTGATATGAAAAGCGAACTGGCTCTTTCCTGACACTTATGCAAATTGGGATGAATGTCAGCTAGGAAAAATGAATGTCATGTCCAAACTGGTCTCACCCGATTTGTGTTTTGCCAGTGTGCTTTTGACATGCAAGACATTTATACATACGTTTGGCCCTCTTAGTTGTTGTGTGGGAGTGTTAGGCGACTACAAGCTACACACACAGGAACAAATACAAATACAAGAACAGTCCTTTCGGCAACTACGCGTCGTCGTTTTTATATGAATCAAATACGAATTGAATGAATGACTTTAGTACCTGATAAAGATTTGGCACTCTTGAAGGTGTTGGCAGGCTTTTTTCACTTCGGTGTCATTTAATAGAGCCAGGGTGCCGATTGTCAGGTGGAGCTTTGCAGGGTTCTGGAAGATGCTCCCCTCTACTCCATGATCCTCCACACCAGGTTAGAACAATGAGTGAATATTAAACTTATTTTGTGCTGATGGCCACCACCGGCCTTCATCAATACCATCCACTACTTCTACAGTACCTCGGAGCACTGCTGCAGCACCTCGTCTTTAAAGCTCAGGAATCCCTCTTGGATTTTGGAATCGTTCAACGGAAATGACAGGAAATGCGTGAAAGGCTGCTTCTTCCGGAAACCCTCGACGAGGACCTCGATTCGCGTGACTGCGGACGAGACTGCAGCTTTGTGGGAACCTGTGACGACTGTCAGGAAAAGGAAGAAAGTTATGGGGGGGGAATAATTCACTAACTGTTGTTTGATCGGTGCTCCCAATCCTCACCAATCTGTCCTTCCACTCCTGGTTTGGGGATGTTGATGGACGTCTTTGTGTCAAACTCCAAGCGTCTGCGCGTCTCTCCCTTTTTCCCAATGATGTATCTAAACAAAGTATGCGAATTAGAAACAAGACTTCTTATGCTTTTTTGAAGTTTACGGTGGTACAGAACAAACACTATTGTTGTTGGCTGACTTGTAGAGAACACTTGGGACATCGATGGCACAGCGGTATCCCTTATCAGTCTGCTCGATGGAGATGGTGTCACAGGCTTCATCTTCTGCGAGGTCTTCACTCACTTGACATGAAGGACAAAAAAACAGCGAGACGCTGGTTTATTTCTTTCTTTTTGTGTGTTTGTTTTTGCGTCTGCTGCGACTTAAAACAAATACACAAACAGGACTGAAGTTACCTGGTGGTCCCATGTAAGACAAATCTTCTTCTTCTTCCTCCTCCTCATAATGTTCTTCCTTAATGATATTTCTTCGGTACAATCTCCCATTTATATTGATGAGTGCTGGACGTAAAACGTCCATTATGTCAACTAGCTAGCTAACGTGAGCTACTCTAGCCAGACAACAGAAAAGTCCCTCTGAATTGTTAATAGCAAGCTAACTATTGTTACACGAAAAAACAATTAACTTACCTAACCTAACGTTAGTATTTCAAACACTTGCTCGCTAGTTGCTAGCTAGTTAGTTGAAGTTCACGTCTCGGTTTCCGGGCTTTACGACAGCTAGATGCCTCGTTTAACATTCAGTAGATCTACAAACGACCAGTGCCTGGATGATCTATGAGACGAGCCATCCGCATGGTTTTTAACCGTGAGGCAAGAAGGCCATCGCTTTAAACGTAAAACGCAGTCTTTGTCGTAAACCACTGGCAAAAGAAAATGTAACAACATAACCAACTGTACGGATTCAAAGTTGTTATAGTTTTACTTCGGACATCGACGGGAAGTCAACGGTATCCTATTTAAAACAGGTAATTTGTTGTCATATTTGTAATAAGAGGTGAAAGACCGTCGTTTATATCGGCGCTAGCGGGACCTTAGCTTTCTTGTTAGCCACTTAGCATTACCGTCGCAGTCAACAACTCGCTATCCGGTTGCAACGTTACAGTTAAAGCATGGAAAGCAAACCTAATAACTCCAACGTTAGTCTTGCTATGGTGGGGGCATAAACGGTGACATCTAAACCTGAAAGCGAGCCTACCACACCTGTGTTGAACACGTTAAAAGCGGTGGTGACAACAGTACAACGTGTTTTATTTTGTGTCTGTTTTTTTTTTCTCTTTAAGTTCAATGGCAGCGTCTACTTCGTCTTCCTCTGCGGGAGGTGTTAGTGGCAGCTCGGTAACTGGCTCTGGATTCAGTGCATCAGAGCTCATCCCCCCAAGAAAGGTCCTGTACACGTATCCCAAAGGTGCAGGTGAAATGATGGAAGGTAAGACGAAACCGACAAAGGCATCCAGCGTCTTTCTCTCTCCTCCACAACAAGGCCCGGGTTGAGGAAATCATCTAGCTTTGGTTATAGGTCATCTAACATTGAGACGCCACCGGGCCGAATCGTGTGAGGCAAGTTTGACCAAGCTGTGAAAAATTAGGACATTTTCAGAAAGTCTCATATTAAAAAGGATGAGTGGCGCCAACCTGAGTTTATAATAAAGTCAGATTGCAAAAGTCAACTTTTCTTTTTACTGAATTCCGAAGATACAACTCCAAAAAACACAGTGAAAATCTCGACTAAATTCTTTCAGTCTTTGATACCATGTGATGTCCTCCTTTACCAAAAGCCAAATAATACATGTGTGAATTGGATTAAAAGGCAACCTGTCTGTAGCTCAAAATGCACTAATTAATATGTCTGTATTGGCTTTTGTATAAAAGTACAGGCAGCGCTAACTGGAATTACTGCCTTTCAGTTTTCTGCCTTCGATACCGGTCAAGTTGCAGTGTACATCCATGTTAGTTTGAAAGCCTCATCACTTTGCCCTAGTAGACATTTGTGTCACACTGTCTGCAAGGAGCATTGGAATTCTTCACCTATGGCCAGCGTGGTGTTTATTCAGGTCACAAAGATCCAAACCATTGATCCGAACACCAAATTTGTTTGGGCTGGACCCAAATAAAAACTATTTGACTATTCAGGTTTTCAATTGTTTCATACGTAATTTGTTTTTAATTTGAAAAATTTGGATGCTGATAAGTAGGAACCATTGCTTATTACATATTTACTGGGAAACACTTTGATGTCTTCCTCTTTGTTTATTTCGAAACTCTTCAAAACAAGAGTCAAAATTCCCTCAATTCCAACCTGCACTTCTCTTTCTGTGGTAGCATTGTAGTTTTATTTAGAGAAACTAGTGAGCGAGTATCCTTGTTGACACAACGGATTGAATTATGTCTTTTCCAGTATGTAACTTCTTTTTTGTTTCTTCTTAGATGGTTCCGACAGATTTTTATGCGAGTCTGTGTTCAGCTACCAGGTCGCCTCCACGCTCAAACAGGTCAAACATGGTGAGTCAATAACCGTACATGCAAATTGTGTTTGTTTTGGTCGACCCATGAATACCTGGTTTGCCTAATTAAGTTCGCGTTGTGCGTTCTTCCAGATCAACAAGTTTCTCGAATGGAGAAACTGGCGAGTTTGGTGGAGGAGCTGGAAGCAGATGAGTGGCGTTACAAACCAATAGAACAGCTCCTGGGATTTACACCTTCTTAAATAGAGTGACCCAGATGCCTTTGGTCAACACATCAGCCAAGTCATTAGAGATGGTTTATTTCAGTTAATAAATTCTATATTTTTATTATTGTTTCATTATATATCATGTGTGAAATATTTTGTGAAAGTGTTATTTGACCACTTTGAGTATTGTACGAGTGTGGTTTTCTTTTCTTTCTTTTTTTTAAACTATTTGACTTTGCATTCTATAATAAACCACTGTCAACAACAATCTCCTTGTTATGTGTTAATAACTGAACAATCTGAAATGTTGTAATAGATTTCTCACTCGGCGGAGGCTAATAAAGGTATTTTTAGGTAAGTTCAATCCGCGCTTAGCCTCAGTGATTAGAGAGAAAATATCTTTAGTAACGTCCCTTAAAGTGAGCGATGTTGTTTTCACACGGCTGCAATTGCAAAAGTCGTAAATCTGGAGTCGTGGTGCCTGCTCTGTTTCTCCTCATCGCCGCTCGCTCCATCCGCACTAGGAGAAAAACAAAGGGAGCTTGTAGAATAAAGTCATACTTGGACGTTTCCCTGCCGTTGCCAAACCAATTCCCTCGAGTTCTAACATGTTAATATTCACCTAAAGCTTTGCGCCATTGTTGGTTTTCAGTTGAGCAATGTGCACCTTTTCATTTATTCAGCTGAACCACAGCCTGACCCTCGTGGTCGCGTCACGCCTGTGCTGTGTTGACGGCGAGGAAAGGCGCTGGTCTTGGCGTTTTGCCCAGTGAATGGATGTTTTCAAACAAGTGGGGGGAGGGAGCGAACATAACGTACTGTTCAGGGTGTGAGCGTCTTAAGGCCGGTCCTGGACATAACAAGACACGCCTCAAGCCGCAGTTTAGATTTCCTTTTTTTTACGAGGTCAGAAGTTTGTTTTTTGCTATCATACTCGAAACGTCAACCGACTTATTTACCCGCAGTTGTTCAAAGTGTTGTGGCTTTGCATGAACTGCCGAAGCCACTCAAATCGTGAAAAGGGAACCGGCGATGACGCCTACAAGCGTCCCCCCTCAGAACATTTTGTACCTACATGTGTTTACATCTTTCAGTTCCTCGTTGGCTGAAAGTACAGGCCGTCCCACTCAACGCGGAGCAGCGCGGCCTTATTCTGGCAGCCATCCAAAAAAACGTTTTTTTCTTGAGGAAACAATCAGTTTATTATGTACAGTAGCAAAGAAACGCAGCAGTTTCTGATCCACACTAAGTTCTTTCCTTCATGTGTGCTATACTAGCATATGAACTTGTTTTCCACGCAGTGCTGTTTATTTAAAGCCCTTTGATTAGATACACAGAGCGTACTTTGTGACAGTAACGCTATACTGCGTGAGTTATCTTTCTGGTGCATTTGTATTGCAGTTTTCATTGGTATTCTGTTTTAGGGCAAATGTAGAGAAGATGCACATCTTTGAATAGAAAACAATTATTAGCTATTTTCGCAGGTTCCCAGCGTTGTGTTGTGCAGCCGATTCTGTGTTGTTTTTCACCTTTGTCAGGCAGATGAAAATGATGATGTAATGCTTTTGGCAAAACAGGTGACGTAATGTGCACTGCAACACTCAACCAGTTGAGCTTTTCCTGCATGGAATTTTTTCAAATCCGTCCACGCACTGGATACACATAAAGCAAACCCATGTATTACTGCTTATGAAGGATATCAAACAAAGAAATGCTATAGGATCCTTGCAAGTCCAGGCAAGTCTTTGTATGTTTCAACAGCACTGGAGTCTGCTATTCATCACCCAGGCCCCCCTCCTCCTCCTCCTCCTCCTCCCCCCCCTGTTTGTCCTCTCTGCTGGCATGTTACCAGGCAAGCTACAGCTCCGGTGCCGTGCCTCCTCTTTATGATTGGCTGGCTGGATGCCAGTGGGCGTGGTCTAACGCGCCCATATAAAAACATTGTTGCAGGATAAACCGCAGAGCTCGGCAGCTGTCTGTAGATGAAGGAGCGTAAGAGAGAGAGAACAGATGGTTGTTTTTGCAGACAATAACCCGTCAAATAACCAACTTATACACCGACAACGGACCTGATCTGCACCGTTGTCATTTAAACTGTAAGTACTATTATGTCACAAATTGTGGATTTTTTCTTGCGTGGTATCTAATTTGAACAGCCTGTCCGCTTGCCTTTTAACAAAGCTGTTCATTTCTGTAAACTTGTACTGTTCATAAATTCCATAACGTTTTCTTAAAATATCTTTTTAATTATCCATCAGTTATGTTTAACTTTTAACTACTGTCTTTTATCTCGAATTTGAGCGCTTACCTTTTTTCTTCTTCTTCTTTTTGTCTCCTCATCCAACAGCCAACCACTGAATCAGCTGACCCTGTCTTAACACTGCAAAGAGGACACAGCCATGCCTGCTCTCTCTGCCCGCACCGATATCGGCAGCTCACCCCCTTCTCCGGTGGACAGCGGTGTAAGGAGGCTGTCCTGGGGCAAACTGGTCCAGAGGATGGCCGATTTCAGCACATCTGCCAACAGCAGCAGTATTGAGTCCGGTTCCAACGACGGCAGCAGGAGTGATCTCTCCGACTCAGGTACAGAACGCTGCGAATGTTTCTTAAACTCCTGGAAAATCCCCCCCTCTCTTTTTTTCTTCTGTCACTGCTCCGATGCTAACCCATCTCACCTTTGACAACAGGGTCAGATGTCTCCGGCGACCTGTCTCACTGGAATGACGACGTGTTCAATGATCCGATGGAGGAGACCATCCTGAAAGAAGTCGTGGACCTCATTTCAGGAAGCCTGAGAGACGCCAAAGACAACTTACGATGCACCAAGCTGCTCATCCCCGAGAAACTTCTGGAGCACATCGGACAGGAGCTCCTTCACCTGGCGGCCAGCGAGCCCTGCGGCCTGCGGGGGGCTCTCATTGACCTTTGCGTGGAGCAAGGGGTCGTCTGCGAGAGCATGGCGCAGCTCTCCGTGGACCCCGACCTCGTGCCCACCTTTCAGCTGACTCTGGTGTTGAGGTTGGAGTCTGGTGGCCTCTGGCCCAAGATCCAAGGACTTTTTAGCACAAAGTCTCCATCCACCCCGGCAGTGAGACAAGCGATTAAACTCAGCACGGGTTTCCGAGTGATTAAGAAGAAGCTGTATTGTTCCGAAGAACTGCACATTGAGGAATGTTGAGAGACGTGCGTGACGGTCGGCATTCGACGGCCTGCGTTGTTTTCAGAACGCAGAGTTAAGCGCACAGAAAGGGCCTTACTACTATAACTACATGTATATGATGCCTTCTGAAGTGTAAGGAGGGGCATTGTCGTTGTGTAGCTCATCGTTCCCACTGTAAGGGAGTTTATGGTCTGGAGCAGGCGTCCCGTTTCAAAATTACAACGTGCAACTACCATGGTATCAGTCGTAAATAGGCATTTCGCAAGTATCAAAGCGCTTACCTCAGTTTTTTTTATTGAAATACTCAACGGCAGCTAGCTATATGATTATAGTCATTGAAGACCATTGTGTTTTTTTGTTCTTTTTATACATGGCAATTAATTGTAATGTAAGTGACAAGTGATGAATTGTACACCAGGCGAGTTGTTAGGGACCCCAGCGACGGCTTGGATTTAAAGAGCAAAGGCTTACCAGTGCTTGCATTATGCAGTTTGTGTGCAAGCTACGGCTAAGATTTCAAATGTAAGTGGATCTTGTATCTGTGTAGACCTTTCCTGCTTTAAACTTTATTTATTTGACATTCAAATACTCATAACATTGCACTGTTTTTTGTACATCCGTGACTGCGAATAAATTATTTTTTTTAACAATTCTCTTTCATCTGTTGTGGTTATTTCTTAAAACTTGTCAGATTAAAGTCACCGATTAAATAGTTTGTAAATGTGTGTTTGGTCCTGCTAAATGTAAAGCTACATACATGACAAACTATGTTAAATACTAACATACCTACAGATGGATCAGCCAAAAATGTTTGGCCATATTTTTGACAGCTATTACAAAGTTGCAAAACTGAATAAAGAAAGTTACAGTGCTGCCAAGTGGAGGTTCAACTTTAACTGCCTTAAACCGGCCGAGTGCATCAGCGGTGAGAGAATGTTACGCTGCGGTTCCCTTTTGGCACATGCTGCACCCCCCCCCCCCACCCCTTCAAAATGTGAGCGTGCACAAAGCCATGTCTCCTCTTCCCGGCCCCAGCCAGCCGACCGGCAGGCTCCACGTGCTGGATGTGCTGCTGACTGAGCGGCTCACGTTTTATGCTCCGAGCGACAAGTCACGTACCACACGTTTTTGAGCATCCGTGTTTATTTTCGTCCGGGAATAAAAACATGGTGGAAAAAGGGGTGAGCAAGGAGAAGTAATCGTTTTATAAATAAATAATATAAAACATAGATGGCATACTACGAACATAAAAAGGTGCGACAAGAATTGCAGATGGTGAGTTTAAAACTGGAACCTGTTAAGAGTCCCACTTTGTGGGTAGGCACACTCACTCTATCTCTCCCTCGGCTTTTATTGGGAGGTGCCATCAAGTCACGGCACATTATTCTATCCTTAACACAATCAAAAGAGGCAAAGTGCAAAGGGACATTTCTTAATTTGTTATTTCACTCGTACACATGGACGAAAAAGACAAATCTCAGGTGTTGAAAACCCTAAACACGAGTGTGTATTCATCGGAGGTTTCACATTAAAAAGGTTATGTACATCATTTCCAACTCTGTTGCACCTGCATAGTTTTAAAATGTTCATTTAAAGTCAAGTCAGCGAACACTCCATCTCCTCACTTATGCTGATTTAACAGTGCAAAATAAAAGAGGAAGCGCTCACTATGGCATCTAATAAAACTGCTACATAAATAACGTCTGTACGACTATGTCTAACCTCACAATGTTCCTCTTTCAAACGGCATTCTCATAAAGTGACTTGTACCAGCTCCATGGTTCCCATTTAAAACTGGGGCTTTGTTTTTTTTTTCCGAACCCCCTTGTTGTCAGGGGGACAAGCTATTTAAAGTGTTTTCCACCTGTTTCAAAACGTTATATATATTTCATTAAATCACATACTAGAATCCCAAAGAAATGGCCAGTTTGTCTTCACATTGGTTCATTTGGTGCTGGTTGGTCGGTGCCGCTTTGTTGAGTCATCTTCGGTCTCCAGATTGTTAAAAGCATTTATTTACAGCCAAGTTTGTGTTGATTCTGGAGACCTGGAGGCAAGAAGGGGAAGAAAAGAAATCAAAGAAACGTTAATACTTAGATGAAACAAATGACGCAGGAGAATCATTCAGAATAAAATGTGTTTAGAAATAAAAATAAAAAGTTGCTCTTACTCACTAAAGCAGCATTAACCGTGCGTTCAGGCTGTGATCTCGGACAGTTTGGCACAGCTCGGTGTGCGAGCCCTCTGCGCTCTTTGGTACAAATCGTTGTCTCCGAAATAGCGTGCTCTGTAAAGCATGCCCTCCTCTGCCGGAAATAGAAACAATTAATGAGAGATATATAGGAGGAGAAACTCCCCCCCCAACAGAATATGTCTTTAATTATTTTCCCAGAATTGGCGAAACAACAATTAATATTCATGGCATAGATACATTAGCACTATTTCTGTTCTCGGGAAACCTACTCTGTTGTTTCTCCTTCCAGCAATTGTTGCGAAGGTTGGAAACATAATCGTCCTCCACCGTCCGCTCCAAGTTCTTCAAGTTCAGCCCAGTGAACTCTCTGAAGAACTGCTCCCCCACATAATACGGCAACTTCAGGTTCTCAGTCAGCCGCTTCTGTGTGTAACCTGCTGACCTGCATGACGATTGGACAAAGTTTGGGAGAGAGATGACCGATGACAGCTGACAGATCTGGTGCTCTCTGTCTCTGTTAACATGACTCATTGGCTGATAAGCGCTCACAGAAGTGGATCTGAGACACAAAGAAAGCAAGCAAAATGGAGGGAGGGCAGGCAAACGGGGCAAGAGAAATCCTCGAAAACACTCACGAGGTCTGCGATTAGTTGGAATTAATTGAGGCGGCATAAACATGTTTTTTCAAAATCAAACAAGAAAGTCATTATGATGGATGCAAATAAAAGCACTATGAAGGTAAATATTGCTTTTGATATATTCTATAAAATCAGTGCTATTTCAAATATGGACACCACCATCTGCATATACAAAATTGGCAAGAAATTTATAATCCCTCTTGGGCAGGTTGTTGAGAGCAGGGGATCAAACTCACGGCCTGAAGCTGAGGCTGTACGGAGGGCTATTGACCATGATCTGACTGAGGGCCGACACAATAACAAGGATGAGGATGGGCATGACCTGCACGAAGAGAGCGAAGCCTCCCTGCAAAGAAAACGTTTCAGTATCAAAACCACAACCACAGCTGAATAAATTCCAATCTCTGAAAAAGGCACTATAATATAACTGAGAAGACAAATACCTCAACATCTCCCCCTGCTGTTTAAACAAGAACTTTACATTGTCTTTTAAAGTTGTAAGGAGCTCAAGCAACAGCATCCAACTCACTTCCCGCTGCCGCTCTCTTCTCTCTGGCCTTTGGAAACGCATCCGCCCGTTAGTGTACACATTAGCACTACCTAGATCAACGTAGCACATGTAGCACTTAATAGACAGATCACAACAAGTATGACAATTAAAAACAAAAACAAAGAGGCGGCACTTACTTGCCGGGTAGCCTCCTCCAAAGAACATGTTAAAGAGGTCTTCGGGTGAAATATCTGGCTCAAAGTTTCCATCGTCTGGGCTGCTACTTGAAGGGTGCCGCTTCTCGTCGCCACATTGATCGTACTGTTGTCTCTTGTTAGCGTTACTCAGAAGAGCATACGCATTCCCAATGGCTGTTGGTCGTGGAAAATAAACAAGTCAGATTATGTTTGATCATTATAAAGAAGGGCCGACTGACTTCCACCTTCTGTAGCAATAAGTATAGCCGAAGGTCAGTGAACGAACGTTCATGCTGGTCACCTTTAAACGCCTCTGTGGCACCAGGAGCGTGGTTCTTGTCTGGATGGAACTTCAAGGCGAGTTTTCTGTAGGATCTTTTCAGTTCATCCTCAGAGGCGTTGGCCTGGACCCCGAGTATTTCATAGAAGTCTTTACATTGTTTTATTCTGCGTGGAGAACAAATGGTTCTCAATATCAAGTGTTGATTAAAGGCAAAAAATGGGCCAAACGTGGCTGGTGTAAAACCCACTGAGTCTTTCCATTATTATCAGCCTTACCTCCTCACCGCATCGAGCTGTTCTGCCGTGTAGGATTTAGAGGAGTCCGGAGACTTTTCCTCAGGTCTGGCGTCCTCGCCGTTGCCCTGCCGATGTCGAGATCCGGATGCCCCACTGAAGTCGGAGTGGCTGCCCTGTCTCGGTGTAAATCCATTCTTTGCTATTAGCTCCAGGAGTACTAGAAGCAATACAAAAACGATGCATGCGTTTAACAAGACCTTCTTCTTACAGATATTAAAAATATCAATGTGATTGTCTCGTAAAAATAAAGGCTTGGGGTCAGATGGATGGGGTTGTTAAAGGGATATTATTGTTGGAACTTCAATACGACAAATAAGAAACTGGTTATCTGGGATGTAGGAGTCTTTGTGCTCCTCGGCTACTCTTGCCCTGTAGCCGGCGAGCTCAACCATCTAACGGAAAAGCAAATTAAAGCAATTCGTGGCTGGAGTTTGATTTGTATTGAAATTGTGGCGGCTAGATGTGTTAGCTACCACAGGCCCCTGGTTACACGCGCCGCATAACTCATCCGGGATGCAGGTGATGCTGCAGGTGGTGATGATGCTGCGGACCTCCCCGGGCCGAAGTCCCCCTTCCTTCGGCTCGGCCATTTTAGCTCACCCTTCGCTTTGTCCGTCGGGAAGAGTCTCTGCGCCTTCTCCAGGAACCTCCGCGCCTTCTCCGGCTGGTCGTCCGTCAGCGCCGCGGTCGCGATGTCGATGCAGCGCTCCGCTTCGTCCCTGTTTACCTCCATCGCACAGCGGGCTGAGCTAACTGGACCAGAAGTAAATACAGGCGCCTGCTGATGACGTCACAAGGATGCTGCAACAAGAACTGCCCGTCGGTCATTCAGGGGTTTTTTTTGCTTTTGTTTTTTGAAGAAAGCAGACGCTGAAAATACGTTGCTCCCGCCTGCGCCTTGGATGTAAAGAGAGAGGTTTGCATGGCGTGAACGGGTTGGCTCTCAGCCCACTAGATGGAGACACAACGCCTCTCTCTACATTTTAAAATGAATGTATCTGTCATCCTTTTTTAATTAACATCTTTTAAAATACAATTGTCTACTAACTTCATATGAATGTCGAAATTGTCACACGTCTGATTGTACCTCATTACAACTGTAAATATAACATGTACAAGTGTGACAATTATTGCGGATTCACAAATGAGCAACTTCAAACAAATAGCAAGTTATTTTAACAATGAATTGAACACATGGAAAAACCCACATTAAAACCTCAATAAATATCCTACACTTTTTTGTGCTTGGGTCTGATAATGTTCACATTCAAAGAGTTGACCGTGATTGATTTTTCATTGTCCGAAAAATAATCGGTGGATTATTATTATTATTATTTTAGATTATTAAATGTGTGTGCATGGATCGCTTGATACGCACGGATCACGTTGCATTTACGAGTGGAGACTGGAGCCGTATGGTGGAGATAGTTGTCACGGTCTGCAGCTCAGCACACAGCCACAAATGCATGCTGCGTTTAGGGACCAGTGGAAAACTTGGTCGACTCTGGGCAATCGGGAAGAAATATGTTTTTCAATATTTATTATCCTGTCGGTTCTTGGCAGATGTGTGAGATGCAACGGTTAAAGTGAACATATCTGTACTACAACATCCGATATGCGTTAAAGTCACCGAGGAAAAACCTCAGCACATATTGTCAGTAGACTTCCGAGGGGCAACAGGGCGTGAACTGTAAGTTATCTTCTGGGATCAGCTTTTGAAGGATAAAATCTGAACTGGCTGCAATGCAACAATTGTGACAGCGCTCCCTGATTTGCAGTGTAACGTTGTTTGAAACCCTCGACAAACAATTATACACTTCGATTATTATTTTGGTTATTGTATATACTACTGCATCATTCCCAATAGTTCGATAGAGCTCTATTTGATTCGTTTTCCTTTTTTTCCACAATTGCTCAATGTATTATAAACCTCTTAATACGATTGCTCGTATTAGCACGCTATTAATGAGATGCATGAACAAGTATATACGTGATTGCAGTAGCTTTCGGAGTATTGATTGAAAGCCGCATCGCTCAAATGGGGGAAATAGATGAAATAAAAGGAAATCACATTGCACGATATCGTCCAATACACATTTGTGACCCCTTTATGAATCAATTCCCCCCTATGTGTCTAGACAGTAGCGGTGGCTTTGCAGAGGCGCTACATCTGGCAATAGAATGAATAAAAGGTGAACAGCAGATAACCAGGCAGCCAATCAGAGTGCGAGTTTGAGGCGGTATCTGAGCGCTGATTGGTCGGCCACGCCTCGTACTGCCCTTATTGATGCGTTTGCTCAGCCAGCGACCACTCTCTCTTTCCCCGGTCTCTTTCCAGGCTACATTTCTGCTTTCACCCCCCCATTCCTCTCCGTTTAACATCCCGGACATCTATCCTATTCCTCTGCATCTCTTTGGTGAGTAATTTATCTTCCGCTAAGTCACGCTACGGGTTTTATGTGTGCGTTACGCAACGCAGAAAAACGTCGCAGCCATACCGGCGGTAACGTTATATCAGCATCATCGTTACATTTACCCTCCTCTGCTTTTCCGTCGCAACCGGTTTAGCCACCGCAAATGAAATAATACCCCCCGCATCTTTACCACTAAAACACGGGAATGACCGATTTATCTCGTTAATGCTGTTTTTTTTTTTGTTGCTTCCGCACAGAGCATCGCCACCAAACCGCAGCCACGATGACGGAGGCGTCGGACATGAAGCAGCGCGTGTCAAGCAACGGAAATGTTCCAGAAGCGCCCATAGAAGACGTGTTCGACCACTCTTACAAGGAAAAGGAAGGGCCCAAACCTCCGAGGACCATCGTGTGGAGAAATGTCGTTTCCATGACCGTGTTGCATTTAGGTGCCGCTTACGGCGTGTGCCTCATTCCCTCGGCGTCTCCTTTGACCTTGCTGTGGTGTGAGTAAAACCCCAACCTGTTACGGTGTTTTATGCGAAAGACCTGTGTTTATTTTTGCATCATATACCCCCCCCCCCCCTGTTGGCGCAGCACTGTATTCTACCGAAATTACAGCTGTTATGTCACCGCGGCTGCAGATCGAACGGTTGCACCCTCCTCCCAGTATTCTGCATGCGGTGGGATTATAGATCAGGACATATAACCACCAGAGGTTTCATGTCACGGCAAGCATCTAAAAGCTGCGAAATGTGTGCGTTTTTGTGCTGAAATGACGCACGCACTCCTCAAACAGCAGAGACCCACTATAACGCGAGTTCAGTAACAGTACGGGAGGACATGGAGCGATTACACAAGCTCCATTCGGCCTTTAATGACTTGCATTGTTTGTTAGAATTCACTGGACTATTTGATTGTTGGGAACGTAAAACCCACACAAGGCTGCACTTCTGGACAGCATGCATGTGACCATCAAGCGTCAGCGCCCGACATGACGTAATTGCATCACCAAATGACTATCCCAGTTTCATGTGACTTGTCATGTTCATTTAAACTCTCGTGAGAAATGGAGGCCGCTACGAACCGCTCGACTCAAAGGCTTTGGGTGATCTTCAGCCTGCACGGACCTTCGATAAAAAGAAAGGCCTTGTAATGAGGTGAAAAGTTGCAGTAATACGTTCATAATTTCATCTTTTTGAATCACTAGTTTACTGCTTAGCAGGTTGATTTCCCCCCTTGAGTTAAGCACTTTTAATAATGTAACATGGATGACTCACTAGCACTTGTTACATTCATAGACTTAACACTGTCGGTACAAGTGTACAGAAAGCGGGTTGACTCTTGCAGCGTTTCAGTTCCTGCCAGTGCTAATTTGTTTATGCCTTTTCTCCCCACAGCCGTATTTTGTTTCCTGATCAGCGCTTTAGGAGTTACTGCTGGAGCTCATCGCCTGTGGAGTCACAGATCCTACAAGGCCTCATTACCTCTGAAGATCTTTCTTGGTTTAGCCAACTCCATGTCATTTCAGGTACACACACACACACACACACTGTCCCGGCTCGCATAATAGCCGCTTTCATTACGGCGCAGCGACCACGTTGTGTCCGCAGTGTGTGTGTAATGTCTGTCTTTACTGGGACCCACAGAACGATATCTATGAGTGGGCTCGAGACCACAGGGTTCACCATAAATATTCGGAGACTGATGCCGACCCGCACAACGCCGTCCGGGGCTTCTTCTTCGCTCACATCGGCTGGCTGATGGTGCGCAAACACCCCGATGTCATCGAGAAGGGGAAAAAGCTGGAGCTCAATGACCTGACGTCTGACAAAGTTGTAATGTTTCAAAGGAAGTAAGTGGCTTCAAGTCAATGATTGATTTTACACTTGTAGCATTTAACCCGAAGAAAAAAGTAAACACCCCCAGAGGTTTTTCCTTATTTCTAATCTCCCAATAAGTTAATTACACATAGAGCAGCGTGAAGAAAGACAAATTCAACTGGGTCACTCTGTGTCTGCTGTCATTCTGGTTTAACAAGGCCGGCAATTACGAACATGTTCTTTCTGCGTGTTGGGATTGGTCCCCGCGGTTTATTTCAATGAAAACCCTTTAATATCGAAGAGAAATCCCTCTGACCGACAAGAAGCGCGTTGGTGTGTTTTTTAAGTTGTGCGGAGTAAAAAAAGCTCCGTCCTCTCTGCCCCCCTCCCCCCACCTCCCGCAGGCACTACAAGCTGTCGGTGCTGCTCATGTGCTTCTTCGTCCCCATGTCCGTCCCCTGGTACCTGTGGGGGGAGTCCCTGTGGGTGGCGTACTTCATCCCGTCCGTGTTGAGGTACACGCTGGTGCTGAACGCCACCTGGCTGGTCAACAGCGCGGCTCACATGTGGGGAAACCGGCCCTATGACAAGAGCATCAACCCCAGGGAGAACAAGTTTGTCACATTCAGCGCGATAGGTGAGTGACGCGGTCGAGTGCGTGTTCTCTCGCTGATGCAGCAGATAAATTATTAAAGGGAGGAATTTCAAGCTCGAGACGAGAGAAATACCTTTTCACTTTTGAGTTATTTGAACTTTGCACCCGTGGCCTATATCGGCACAGTGGGTCAAAAGGTTACGCAGAAGACCAGTTCGAGGAAAACGAATACAGTTAAATAGTTACAAAGCAAATGGCCATTTTATTTAAACGCTGACTTTTTAAATGTATCTTAAAGATGAATGTTATTTACAATCAATTCACCTCGACCCCCAAATATAATATATATATATATATATATATATAATACAACTTTATGGACCAGTAGTTCATCTTACATTTGTTTCTTTTCTAAAGACAAAGGACCGGTGGGCGTGTCACATGATCCTGGATTTCTAAATGTGGCCATTACAACCAAATCGACCGCTTCGACCCTCACTGAGGCCGAAAGTCCGCGTGCCAGTTATTGATTCGCTAACGCGCTCCACAGGTTATTATGAATAAAAGATTTGATGATTTGTTCAGCACTCTTTATTCTTGTGCTTTGCAGGCGAGGGATTTCACAACTATCACCACACGTTCCCCTTTGACTACGCGACGAGCGAGTTCGGCTGCAAGTTGAACCTCACCACCTGCTTCATCGACGCCATGTGCTTCCTGGGCCTGGCCACGGACCCCAAGAGGGTGTCCCACGAGCTGGTGGCGGCCCGATCACAGCGCACCGGGGACGGAAGCCCCCGAAGTGGCTAAGATCGATGGATCGTGGTCAGCTCGGAGGGGGAAAAACTATCAAAGATGAAGCTTCACAGTCCTCTGACAGCTCTACATTTCTCATCCACTGAAGATAACCGTCATCGTGAGGGCCTTGACAACATTTTGTAGCTGTAATTAAGTAATTTGTTCAAGGTGGATAAAAAGAAAAAAAAAAACCATTTTGCGAAGCTCTTTGGCTTCTGTCCAGGCCGAGTCGTGCAAAGACTTAGACCAGAAGTAGACGCATTTTAAAAGACAACGTCATTCTCTGCTGTTTTTGCCACTTTGGTGTGCGTTCTTCATGCAGTGTCAGTCATGTAGACGGTCATTTTATGTAAGTATTACTTAATTATTACTCAAAATAGATCAGAAGTGGAGCTCTGAAAGTACGATAACAATGTTTCAACTGATAATACTTATAGGAGACTGTCGTTGTTTTCAGAACGTTTTTATTGTTCTTATACCGAAAATTCACTTTGAGCGCTTTCAGATATGGGGGGGAAAAAAAGATGAGACTTTGAATGATGTTTTGGTTAAAAAAAAAAAAAAAGTTGTTGGGCGTCCATGAAATATGGCACACGCGAAAGAGGGAAGCAACCCAGACCTCCTGTTTCTCATAACAGGACCACGCTCACAACAGTGTCTTGCAGTATGTATCCAAATATATATATATATTTATATATATATACCCACCCCCAAAACATACTGTATTTAGTCTTCGGAGTAAATGGATTGAGTAATACCCAGAAAATATATGTGAGGCATTCATTGTTAAATTAAAAACTGCCGTTTAACAGCGAGATCAGTTTAAATTTTGAAAATCAACTTTTGGGTGGTTTTCAAGGAATCCATCAGCGTGCCAGATGTCAACATATTTATAAGCATCGCACTGGTCCCCCAGAGCACACTTGAGTCGATATTGCTTCGCCAACCCAACGTCATTGTGGAGGGCTTGTTTTTAACGTCGTGGCATCAGTGGCTTTGCTTCCACTTCCTCTTCCTCCATCAGTCATTTCCCTCTTTTGTCCAGAAACATCTGCAGCAGAGATCTCATTGGTCGATGCAGCAGCCAGTCATGAGACAGTTCTGCTGTTAGAAAACATGGCACACATGCATGACGATACGCTGTAGTCGGTGTTGTGGTGAGGTGTTTTATCGGTGACTCCAGTGGCAGAGTCGTGTCTATTTTTTGTAACGTACTGTGAAGCTGCATCACTTCTGGAACTGTTGCCGTGGTGATTTCTGAGACGAGTTAGGGTTTCCCCTTTGATATGCTACTAAAGCTGATTGTCAGTCCTAAATTTCAGGTGCATCAGTGCTTATGTTCAACTTGAATTCTGGTGTGCAGAATGCTTATATTATCTTATTTGTTTATTTCTTTTTTTTCCCCTCATTGACTTGCTCTAAGCAGCTAGTTGCACTCCCAACATTTGGCAGTGAAATAAACCAAATTTGATTTCCTGTTTATTTTATAAGAATCAGGATACAACCTAATGCCTTATGACTTGTATCCATTCCTGATCTTCTTCGCGCCAAATCAGACCATGGTCCATGTTTACAGGCTGAAGCACCAGATGGAACATTGTTTTTTAATCTATAAACCCATTTAATTTAGACAAATTGACAACATCAAATAGACAAATCCAAGTGCTTTAAATTAAAGAATTCATATTCCAAGAATACAAAGAAATGCCTGCTGCAAAACGGTCAATCAACAGAGATAACCTGCAAAAAAAAGAGACCAGATTCTGATTCTTGTGTCAGCCCATCAGGGTTCATCATGAGCATCATCACAGCATTTGAAACAACTCCTACTGCCCCCAACACCAGAATCAACATTTTCCTAATGATTGTCAGTTTGAAAGATAATGTCAAATATCAACTGTACTATTCTGAAATAAAAATTCCCAATATTTTCAATACACACAATTAAGAGTTGTTGCTCTTCTTTTTCCCCCCGTTCTTCATTCCTTGTGTCTCTCTGAAATAAATCCTCTCTGAAAATTAAACTTTCTTTTGTAATTTCACATCGAGCCTTTCTCTGCGCACACAGACGCACACTGATAAGTGCCTTATTTTAAATTCAGATTCGGATATAAATATATTCACAAACATGTGGGCCGTGGTGCTTAGTTGGCTGAAACATATGATGATGCAGCTGCTCCTGCTGCAGGCCCAGTGCGACCCAACAACAGCCAACAGGAAGCATTTAATCCTGATAAGAAAAGCCTGTCGGGGGTTGGACGCCATCACACATTAGTGAGGAGGAAACCTGCTTTTCTGGCTTGATGGTTACACGATATCTTCAGTTTTGGAAGTTCAGAAGGTACTTGTTCCGTGGATGTTAGCTGCTTCTAGTCTCCTACAGCATATTTAAATAGTAAAGGTTATTATTAATGCATCAGAGGTTGGAGTAACATAGCGTGTTCGCGTTCTGCTAAATGTTTTCTTCTAAATAGCTGGAATTCTTTCTCTCAATGCATTTTTGTGTGTCTGAAGATGGCAATCTGCAGTTTCCCCGATAACCGACTGGAACATGTCAGAGGATTCGCTGTCCTCTGGGCAGCTTTTGATCTTCTGCGGTGAAGAATTCAACACTTCCAGTTGGCTGCTGACGTAAGTGTGCGAGTCAAACTATTTAATGCCGCATTCTCACACACAGCAGAGAGGAATGTGGGACCAGTGTGCCGTCCAGTTATCTTCTTATTCCATCATTCCTTTTAGGGGTCAATGAGTGCTTGGTTTGTAGGTTGTACCTATTGAGCAGTTCTTTAATCCTGAAACGGTTTGTAGATTCCTCAATTAGTTGATCGTTTTAAGTCATTTTTTAAAACCGTCTCAAAAGCATAATTATGAATTGAATATCTCGTTTTGCAGTGTTCTGCAACATGTTTTGAAAAAAAAAAAGATGCTTTCCATTAGTAAAAGTGGAAATGCTTCACTTGCAGCACTGTTTCGTAGTAGTTTAACAGCAGCAGGCCGTCTCAGAGTCACACACAGCAGAACTATTAAAGTCCTGAGGCTACTGAGTCCCACAAGGGCGGCGTCACTTCATGACTCACAAGAAGGCCGCTGTGGTGTGATGTGAGGTGAGCTAACAGCGTTAACATCACCTCAGAAGGGAGATGACGGAAGGGTTACTGCAGTTCAAAACAAACAAAAAAAAAACACATTCATGCTCCACGACTCGAAGCGTCTGACTCCAACCGGCCAATCAGCATCGAGGTCCCGACTTGTGATCCCCCCCCTCCGCCAATGGAGCGAGGCTGCGGGAACATGTGCGTGTTCCTAAAGTAAGACACGTCTGAAGGAGAAATGCGATCCGGTAACAAATCGAATAGCCGTAACGTGTCGAGCTGCATCAGAGCTTCCGGCCTAACAGGCATTCTGCATAGTACGGTATAAAAAAAAATACCCCCCGCCCCATCTAATTGCAGTCATTGAACGCAACACACCTGTCCACACCCTGGTGGTGAGAAGCTCCGCCTCCAGGGTTCAACTGCTGAGGTGTGCAAACAGGAGACACACAACGCAGCAAACAGGAGACACACAACGCAGCAAACAGAGGATAGAGAATCTTTAACACAAACTTCTAAAAGCCAAATGAAGGAAAGCAACATCTTTGAAGAGTCCAAAACATTTTGAGGACAAACAAAAAAGGGCTTTACTAATTAATCTAATTTATTAATGCACAAACCATTAATCAATCAGTCCAATTACCTAATGTTCAGAATATGTGATTAATATCAAGTATCTTTGTCTACTTGGTCACCAATCTATCATTGGGTAGCTGCCAAAGGTATTCAAGGTTGCTCTCTTTCTAATAAAACAAGGTCATGATATATTTAAGAAATATTTAAGTAATCTAAGTCACACTTTGTCATTTGTAAATGCTTGGAAAACCCTGAAGTTCTTCTTTTCCTTTCTGAATTGTTCCCTAAAAGGTGAATGTATCAATCACAATCACTTGAGCCTGAAAAGCTTTGAATTGAAGTTTTATTTGAAAAAGATAGCGACATGAGTAAAGTAAGCAACGTGGATTGTATAAATATCTGTGCAACAACGAGCACACGGAGGCACTTTACTGCCTTCGGTTGCCATGATACAGGAAACTATACAGCTTCAGGTCCAGCTGCAAAATTCAGAATATCACACGTTCTAATTCATCCGTTCATTTTTGTTACTATCATCGTATCAGATGGTCTAATCTAAAACAATCACAGTTTAAAAAAAAACAAAAAAAAAACCTACGCCATAGTTACAAAAGGATAATCTGTATTGAAGCGTCTTTAACACAAGGTGAAGTACAGATTTAAAAATCAATTGCAGTTCAACATAAATTAATATAATTCTTTCAGTCACAGCAGATGAAGAGAACAATCAGTATTTATGGAAGTGTCTCCTTGACAACGTATCGGTGGGTTTTCTCCTTATAGAAACTACGCCGACAGGACAGATGGGGAGATGAACGCAATTTTTTATTCAAACAGTTTCCCTCCCTTATTTGGACGTGGGAGCTGCTCGTCCCGGATGCTCCGTTTGGACCACCGCATGTGTTCACCTTGATTCAAACTTCCAATATTACACCAACCGTTGAATTGACACAGAATCACGACTCTCCGAATACATTCACTTCATCGTCAAACCACAGATCTCTACACGAATCCACCAAGGCGCCGAAACCGGCCACCAGGAAGGAATATGTAGTGAGTGATGAAGACCACCATCCGCAATATCATCAGTAGTTATTCTTGTCATCAGGTCAAAAAGAAATAAATACATATATAACAGTAGGATAACACTGATGTCTGGTTGGTGGCGTCAACCCCCCCCCCCACACAAGGGCTTACACGCCCAACTTGTTGCCGATGGTCATGAGCACTTTGAGGATTGGCATGAAGGCGGAGATCTCACTGAAGTTGCTGCTGCTGACCACCTGGGTGTGGACCTCCAGGCCGCGCTGGTAGTTCTGGCTCGCCACGCAGCGGCTGATCTCGTGCAGCCCGTTCAGAATGTTGTGAGTGAGCTGGGAGAAGATTATCACACGTTACTACGTGGCACCTGATGTTACGCCTATAAAAAGCCAGATAATTCACAGTACCCATGAAGACATCCTCAAATGGCTCGTGTTGGTCTGACCGGCAGTCCAAAACTATGAGTCAACACTTCTGTGCTGTGTGAGCTAATTAAGGAATGTTAAATGTTTACAGGCTCTTTAGTTGGATGGTGAATGGTTGAAGCTGTGAATGAGGACCTGCTCAGGCTTTGCAGGAACTATGTTGGTCCTTCATTTTATTGTCGTGTCTCGATCACCAGGTGATGTGGTTGTTCACTTCTAATCTATTTCACCAGGTTTTACCTTTTTGCTGACCCTAAATATATTCTTCTAGGCGGTTTGTCGACCCTTCTGTCTGCTTTGCTCTTAGACGGGCTTTTTTATTTTTGTTGTCCCCCCCCCCCAAAGAAAGATAATATTTGCTGAGTAGCCCTTGATAATAATTTTGCGTGTGCGTGCATTATTTCTTACCGACTGCTCTCTCAGCTTGTCGTACAAGTATCCCAAACGTTTGGCTGCATCATCAAGTTTCCTCTTTGTTTGCTGAAAGAAAAATAATTATTTGTAGTAGTCGCTTATATACACAACAGAACCCAAACCTTCTGCTAGAATCCATGCGAGATTTATCGCAAACAGCAAGTAAACCCCCCACCCAAAAAAACCCATTTGACACTTACTGGGTCTCCCGCGGCGAGCTGGCAGCGCTGCACCAGGCTGTCAAAGGTGGATTTGAGGACGGCGTGTTCAGCAGGGATTTCTTTCTGCTCCACCCGCTCTGCCGGCAGCTGCTGGAGAAGCTGAGCAGCAACAAGGACACAGGTGCAAAGGGGTTGAAAAGTGCTTCCGCGGAGCGAGAAATCCCATGACAGCCACTTGTCCAACACCAACCTGGACGCTGGGCTCCTGCGGGGCCCCGGGGGGGACCTGGGCGTGGTCGTGGGGGTGAGGACCCTCCACGGGGAACCCCATCACGGGGGCAGTGATGGGGGTTGGTGGAGTGTAGTTATCGGGGAGCTGAAACAGTAAGATGCATCCAGTCAGGAACAAGAAACAAAGTCAATCTTTCATCGGTTTTTCTTTGAGGAGAAGGAACTCCACAACAAGCTTACTAAATGTTCCACTTTAGTTTATCAGCACTTGCTTGCTGAAAATGCCCATTTCTCTGAGGGTTTGTCACTCTGCATGACCCCTTTCAAATTGCACTTAGGTCTTTTAATTCATCAAATGTTCATCAGTGGAGCTTAACGAATGAACACTTCATTAGTGAATTGAACATTTTTTTTTGGCCCAAACTGTAACTACAACAGCAGATGATTTGACAAAAGTAAGAAATCTAAGCATCGCCAGTTTTCTGAAGGAAACACATTTACAAAAATCGAATTCATTATATTTCAAAGAAATGAACACACTGGAAGAAAATGACCCAAAAGAATAGATTGGTAGTGGCGAATACCTTCTTCTTTCTGGGTCCGCCTCGAACTGCTGGCGGGTCATTCCAGCCTTCTTGAGGTCCTAAATCAACAAGACGAACAACAAGAAGTGAGAGTTTGAATAGCGACAGGTGGAATTCTTTTGCGCGCACACTCAAGCGGTCAAAGATTGTCAGCACAAAACAACCTCTTTGAGCCGGGTGGGTTTGTGTAGACGGCAAAAACATTCATTAAGCAGAAAACTCTTGCAAACCTACGCGCTAACAAGGCAGCCAAAATGGGGAAATGTCCAGGCAGCATCCTAATGATCAATCAATCAACAGTAACAACATCTTAATGCTAAATTATTAAAAAAAACATACATATAATTGTTGAGCACAAACATGTCAAACGTCTCCACTAGAGCGTTCATAGGCAAACTGCTAGAGAAAATTCTATTTTGAGTAAGTAAAGCCTGCAAGCACTTTTGTTTTTCCATATTTCCTTCCTTTAATAGACTTATTAAATACTTTCTCTTTCACCCAAGAAACTGATTATCAGGATTTGATCAGAGTACTTTAACAGATGTAGGTTTTGTAGTCTTAGTCTGCCATGTTTACCGGTTTCACATAATGTAAAAAAATAAAATAAATCCCCATTGATGACAGCTATCACAAAAAGAGTGTTGCATTCAAAATAGGACCATCAGTATCTTGATTTGAGACTGGAGGATGTGGTTTTGATCACTGTGTTTTAAGCTAATATGTACAGCCATACAAATAAATGAAGTCACCATATTTCCTCCAAGCGTACAGCGGCACAAGCAAACACTACCAAAACTACACTTGTTGACCAGCAAAATAAAAGAAACCCTGTATGATGGATTGTAATCAAATACAAAAGGTGTGTTTTGTGTTATACAGTTATTTCTCTGGTCACTCAAGTGTATTTTTTGTACATTTCAATGCACTCCTATTGCATATCCAACCCTATCAGTGTCACCTGGAAGGTCAACCTGGGAATTCAGCCAGGGAACGAATCCTGAAAGTTAAATGAGGCGCTCAGCTGAATATGATGGAATAAAGCGACAGATTGCTGCTCACGTCTTTGACATGAGACCTACCCGTGGGAGGAGGAGGAGCAACAGCTGGGGCCGGGAAGGGCTTTACAGCAGGAGCCCCCGGGCCGCCCTGTGGGTACCCTGGCCCGAGAGGGGCATAGGAACCAGATGCCATGGGGGGTGCAGGCCCCTGGTGGTGGTGGAGGCCCCCTGGGTACATGGGAGCGGTTTGGGAGCTGGGCGGCATGGGGCCTGTAGGAGAAGAGGTAGACGGCATGAAGCTCGTCGGCGGCACGCCGGGGCTGCCCATGGTGAACATGCCTCCGGGCGTCGATGTCGGAGGCGATAGCGGAGGTCCGGATAGGTTAGCGGCTTGCATCGAGGGACCTGGGGGAGGGAAGACTGAGGGTCCCCCAAATGCCATGCGCTGAGGCTGGAATGACTGATGAGGATGGAAACCTAGGAAAGGAGAAGTGCCATTCAATTTATCCGTCTTTACGTCCTTCACATTTCTCCAGAACCGCTCACCTACTTCACACTAAACAGGTGTGTGGCTGAGGACCCAGGGGAGCGCGTTTGTCAGATTTAGACACACTTTATAAGAACATTTGCTCTGCAGCAGAGGGGGCGGAGCTTCAAGGCTGCGTGGACTTAGTCAAGCATGTCTTAAGTAGTGGGTGGACAACACAATTGGAAGCAGAATGTGTGTCTTTCCTTTGTGCTTTATGCTAACTTGAAACACCTTTATTGTTATGACCAGCAAAATACCTCCGCCAATCACTACCGCACAGTTTAAATTGAAACAGAGGCCTTATCAGCGCAATGTCCTTAAACATACTGGACTATCGGGTGTGTTTTTTTTCTCGACTCATCTGAAATAGGTGAAAGTATCACACAACATCAAACCTGGAGCCGGAGCAGGATGTTGAGGGTAAGGGGGCCTCAGGCTGGGGCGGGGCGCATTGGGCGGCAGTACATGAGAATAAGGTGGCAGATCGGGCCCGGTGTGGGTTGGAGGTTGGGGGGTAAATACCGACGGCATAGGAGGCTGCTGTCGGGCACCCTGGGAAGGAGCAGAGGGGTGATACTGACCCTAAAGAGGGAGATAAAATAACACTATGTTTTAAAGAAAAGTTCAATAATCACATAGGTACATTTCGGATTTGATGCTTTGGATTGCTAATAAATGCATACCATCATTTGTGCGTTTAGTGTAGGAGTCTGAGCAGCAGGAGTGTCCACAGGCTTGGCTGTGGACACATTGACTCTGCTGAGGGACTTTGGATGGCGCGGTCCTCTAGCGGCCTCTTCCTGAGCGTGAAACAGCCGGTCTTTTAGCATTGTGATCCCGGCCTGGGAAGACAACATTCTGTCAACACACGATGTTATTTACCTGTTTCGGGGATGAGAAATGCGTTTTTGTTTTGCTGTGCGGTGCTGTGCTTACTTGGTCCGAGTTGTCAGGCAGGTAGGTCGTGGCAATGGCCAGACTGCCCTCTGCAGCCAGTATGCCGGCGTAGCAGGTTAGCTTCTCTGCCAGGATGGGGCTCTGGATCTCAACCTCGCTGTTGCGGAGGCGTTCGATTGACTTGCGCAGCATCATCACTTTTTCAACCAGATCCTAAAAAAACGTCAGATGTCACTGTGACTGGCCCATGCTTCAGTGCTCTCACATTTAGGCTGAAATGGTTCACTGAAAGTGCAGCCCAGGAAAATATCTTAAAATAACTTCTCAACCTTTGCACATCCGAAACAAGCAACTGTTCTAAATCCATCACATATCAGCAGAACCTTCTGGTGGACAGACAAGACACCTTTGCAAACTGCATTAATCAATTATAAATCAGTTTATACTATAGTATATAAATTAGTGAATTCATCTAAATAATGAATTGTGCTTGACAACATTGCTTAATTAAGTTTATTTACCAGCTCGACCACAAAAAAAGTTCTGGTATTGATATTGATGCATTTTCTGTGCTAGATAAAACAGAATTTTGTTCATGTAAAGCAAAGAAAAAAAGGCGTGTACCTCTAGACCAAGAGGGGAGGAGCAGTCTTTATGTAAGGCCCAGCACTCCACGAGCTTCTCGATGTTCCCGGAGCAGATGTAACACAGACAAGCCTGCAGGCAGCGCTTCTCCGTCCTCTCGCGCTCCAGCCGACCTCCCAGAGTGTCTACCGAGGAGAATCAAGAAAGAGAGACGGCAGAAATTAGGGCAGGCGGGCTGAGAACAACGAGATGTTATTCAGCAAGAAAAGCAAGTATCGTTTAAAACGGGGCAGTTTGCCTGGAAGCGAGGCAAGCCGCAACACGACCGGAGCAACTTACCACACAGGCGGGCAAAATCCTCAGGGTGGGCGTAAGTCAGCAGAGCAGCGAGGGCCTCCTTCCAATTGTCTAACTCACAGCTTTGCACGATGTCCTTCCAGTTCTGCGTCACCACCGACGATATGAGCTGCATTTGAGACGGACACATTTGATTAAATGTTCTTCCTGTAGTTGCGCAGAGTGAAACAGAAGGAATCCAAACACATTCTCACCATTGAAATGCTGTTCTTCTGATTGCTCAGGTAGTGTTGCTGAGTTTTCTTGAGCAGCTCCTCCCCTCCGCTGATTGACAAGAGGATGGCTTCAGCGTAACGGCCGCCGTTAAGACACAAATCCACAGCTCCCTCAAAGTTACCGACCAGCAGCGCCTGGCTTATCAGACCATCGGTGTCTGAAAAAAAAAAAAAAAAAAAAGACAAGGTCATTCACCATCAACACAAAATGCACTTTTTTGCAATGACAACATTATTATATTAAGAGAACATTTGTTGCCAGCAAATCATTAAGTGTGGGTGCAGATGAGGGATTTACCACATGATACAGGGATCTGGAAATTGGAGTTTTCCTTTGGAGTCAGACTGAATAAGTCTGTCGGTGAAACAGAACCAGAAGTTCTGGCGTCACCAACAGCGGATGGCCCAGCTGACCTCTGTAAAGATATTTTACAGTAAACAAGAGCTAAAAGCGTGGTGTGCAAGTAACAAAACTAAAACTATTTGAACATTTTGCTTCCACAGTTGCAGACCTCGGTGGAGAGCCGCTGCATCTTTTCTGCCAGATCTTTGGCATCCACTCCATGTCCATTATGCTGAAAACTCTTCCCCAGGCATTTCGAGATCTGAATAAACATGATTTATTTATTTTATATTTATGATATGATGATTTATATATATAAATCATCCTTCATGATGATGATTTATGATTTATATATATAAATCATCATGACTTATATATATAAATCATCATGATTTATAAGGTAGATGATAAGGCAGATGAGCTACATTTAAAAAAAAATCAGATGGCAGAATACCTTTTTCTCCAGTTCATCTTTGCTAAAGCCCAAAAGTCTGAGGAATTTCACGCGGGCTTCATCCTCAAAGTTCACCTGTAAACAAAGTGAATTGATTAAAAAAAAAAAATAGCACTACTCTTTACTGTCTCAATGCTAAGAGGACGTGAGGCCCCACCAGAAGGAACTTCCATATGTCCTGCTCTGCGTCTGACGCGGCGCTCTGAATCTTGGCCTGGCAGTAGCTGTTGAAGGAGCCCGACTGCAGCGCTGCCTGCAGCTCCCTGGAGCGCTGCAGAAACTCAGTCTCCGTGGTGACCTGGCTCATAAACACCTGTCTGGGGATGGGCTGGGGGCTCTGCACTGGAGGCAGCTTGGGATTCTCAAAGGTTACCAGCTTTCCACCGAACTGAAAAATAAAAAACAAGACAAAATCAAACGTCAACGCCTCTTCTGTCCGCATGCTTATTAGACATATTTATGTTGCACCTACAGCAAAGGAAGCGCCCACAGGCCTGCGCACCCACTTAGGGGGCTTCTTCAACGGGTTAACTACGGTGTCCTGCACTGCAGGCTGAGGGACTTGCAGGGGGGGGAGCACCTGCCCTGTACCAAAGGGATCCATTGAATCAAATGAAGAGGACATCTGTCAAATAAAAAGTTTAGTGTTAAAAACAAGCACAGCTCTTTGAGGTAGAGCTGAAACAATTATTGGATTGACAGAAAATGTCTCAGCAACGATTTTGAGAATTGAGCAACATTTTAAAATGTCACATGTTTAAGCTGTGCTAATGTAAATATCTTCTGGTTTCCTTTGTCTATGATTGAAAACTGAGAGTTTTGGGGTTTTGAATGCATCACTAAATGTAATGAATTGAAAAATCAGCAAATCAATTAATCTAGAAACCTATCATTGATTGCGATCAATCAATCATTTAACTATCACACATATTCATTATTATCCACTAGTCAATGTCCCAAAAAAAAACTTTACGCCTGCGCCATCTTGTGGTCAAACAAGGAAGCACAGCCCATAGCTTTAAGACAATAAATAAATAAAATTTCATTAAGAACAGCAACTACCTTATCTGATGAACCTTGCTGCTGAGCCTTCAAGCTTCCTCCCATAACAGAGTAAACAGTGATTCTGCCATCAAATGAGGCGGCAGAAAGGAGGGCTGGATTCCTGGGGCACCACTGGACATCGAAGCACCACTGATTTGTTGTTGGGAGCTCATAGATGACCTAAAATAAAGGAAAAGAAAACTGGATAATCCACATCGTCACTATGCAATATAATTCAGGCATAACAGAGAAGCAGCAGCTGATTGTCCCATACATCTCCAGTGTTTGGATTCCAGCAGAGAATCCTGTTGTCTTTAGCACTGCTCAGTAGGAGCTCAGAGTCAGCCTGGCTCCAGGATATGGACAGAATCCCCCTGCAAGAAAACGCCAAAAGAAAGTACGTTAGGTATATTCTGCAACACGACAAAACAATCTGAAAGGAGCACAAACCATTTAAACCCTGACCGTGTGTGGTTCTCAAAGACTTTAAGGGGTGAAGTGGCAAAACGGAGGTCCCACATCTGGATGACCGGCATTCGGTCGTCTTCAGAGGCCAACACCAACTGAGTGGCCACATCAGGGTGCCAGAGCATTCCTGAACAATGCATCTGAAACAGATTTAGGAGCATAAGATACTTTTACAGGGGGCAGTTACATCATGTTTATTTTCTCTAACCGGCAGCGGCTGGGAAATCTTGAAAATAGTCGCAAAATAAATGCTAATCCCAAAAGATTTTAGTCATTGGTTGAGAGACCTGAGGATGTTACAAATTAGGAGTTTGGCGTGAGAAAAATATTTAGACAGCTTAGTGATGATCATAGAAGGCAAGTTTGTTTTTCTATAATTTGACAGGCCTACAGTCCAACCACCCATTGATTTGTTTTCCTGTTTTTGGCAGAAGATAACTGAGGACTCAAGGCAATATATATTAAAGCCACAAACCCTGTTGCTGTGGTCACTGATCTTGATGATGGGCTCGTTCTTCCGCAGATCCCACACAACTGCTTTCCCACTGGGGCTGGAAGAGGCCAGGATGTGCTGAACCTGTCTGTTCCACGACACAACACTGATGTCTTCAGCAGGCTGAAACAAACAAACAACCGCTGTCAAAACAAACCTGACTTGTTCAAATGATATTCTAGCCGTGCCTGCTGCTGATTAAGGATCAAGACATTTAGCAAGGTAAATTATTATTTTTTTTTTAAATTTTTTTATAAAATTGGTATCCTGGGATATAGAACACATCAAATTGGAAACCACAAACAAACATTTCCAGTGTTTTTTAGTATCAGCTAACATGCATGAAACTACAAAAGGTAAACCAAAAGAAAGCTGAAAGTTCAGGTCTGTATCAACACAAAAGGTGTACGAATTTCTCACAAAATATGTGTGAACTTCCCCAAACTCATGATATCTCATATCTCAATCACAGACACAGACACACACACACACACACCTGTGTCTTTGTTCCTGGTGTCATTGGACTGTTAAAGCTGTTTAGATCCCAGATATATATCTCTGAATCATTTGCTCCTGAAGCGAGGAGATTACTCTGGTAGAGAAAACATAAATTGAGAATGATTATCAAACGTATATAGCGGCACCAAGAGGGAAGTACTTGTACTTCTCTACAAATTTTATCTGAAGACATTTACCTGAAAGGGGTTGAAATCGAGTGCTCTGACCGGCCCTGTGTGTTTGTCAGATTGCCCCACTACTGCCTCTGCACCGGAGTTCATTATGACCTCTGGGTCGTATACAGTCAGCGTGCCATTTTCACTGCCACCAACAAGTCTCCCTCCAGTACCATCTGCTCCCATTCCAAAATTCACCCATACGATACTGTGCAACCTTTGGAATATGAAAAGCAAATAGTTATTTCCCTACAAATGGCACACTGAAAGGCAGCAGTCCTTATGACACAGATTTAGTGTTTTCGTTTCAGAGGGGGTGTTGAATCTGCTTGTTGATATAGGATATTTTACATTATTAGGATAAGAAATTAAATTGAAAACCAGAATACTGAAGTTCTAAATGTAGATGAGGTAGTATTGTATCAAAGGAATAATGAACAGATTTGTATTTCTCCTCTATAAGTTACCTGTTGGAGGTGGGTAAGGAACCTTTGAGCTGCATGTCCAGAGATGGATCTGAGAAATCCAACTCAAATATCTCCAGGGCAGCTGTGGTGTTGAAAGAGGCATCAAGCTGTTGTGCAGATGTTCCTAAGGCCAGGTGGATGGGGTGGTGCTCCGCAGGACTCCACGCTTGGTGGGCAGTCCTCTGGATCTCCTTCAGCCTCATATTACTTTAATAATTAGTTACCTTCAAGTCCTGGACAGGCGAACGGACTCCACTACATAAAAGAAATGCATATATTAGCTGGCAATTGGCGTGGGTTAACAATACACTCTCAAGTACCGCACACAGCTGCATTCGCAACTAAAATGTTTCCTTCCAACTCAGCTACTACAAGGTGCCACCCAGACAGGTTGTCTACGACTACTCCCTGGAACTGTGGGCTAACGTTCACCTAGCTGTGCCCAATCTGACAACTTCAAAATGTTAAATATACACACAGTATATGTCAACCCGGTGTTGGTGAATTCTGACCAGTAACCGGTGTTTAAAATTACGTTAAATTGTCGCCAAAGCCCTTATAAATGAATTCAACGTAAACTTAAGTTAGCCTGAAATGTAACGCTAGTTAGCTAATGTTAGCATTCACAAATCTGCCTCTAACGCTAAAGGCTCGTACACTTAGAAACATTGAACACTTAGGTTAATATCTGATTGCCACCATTACTAAACTGTACCTCCAGTACTGGTTGGTTGATTCATTGTGCATACCACTAACTTACATACGAAGTCGTATTAACGTTACAGGTTAACGTCTCCTCAGCACCGGGTAGTTCCAGTGCATAACCGGAACCGAGGCTGAGTCTAGCTAGCAATCGATCTTACGGCCACCACCCTTGATTCCACATTTCAACAGCAACGCGCTGTAAGACACTATTAGGCACAGCAAAGGAAAGACACACGCAGCTTTGAGAATAACTCACATCAACTGTGCTTTTTACCGACTGTGGCGGCCTGTCTGCATCCGCTACAAACGGGTAAGCTAGCTTCTTCTCAGCAAAGCTAGCAGCTTAGCCACAGGCGAATTTTGGCCCAAAGTACCTTGCCGTGTTGTCACTGATCTACGGAAGCCGACGCGAACATTTCTCATATGATAATAGCCGATAATAGTAGATAACGCCGATGTCACCATTGATCCAACAAAGAAAAAGGAATTGTAGCGATGGATCATGTTCTTTGACCGTTGTCAGTCAAATTTAGATTATTAAGTTGTGTAGTTTGTGACAGGTTGACAGTCTCTATATACACAAAACAGGTACACATTGAGGAATGTGACTTAAGTCTTTATTCTGGACAGAAATATATATATACACAGTAGAGTCAGATAGCAGTCATTAGATTTTAAAATGTTTGATTTCCTCTGGTTGTTTTTCCGGATCTCCTCCATTCTCCAAGAACAGGTTGTTAAAGGGATACTGTTTCGGGGCCTGCAAGAGAGACATATGCTTTGATGAAAATATGTATGTTATTAAGGAAATCACAATCAAAAAACATCCTATCCACACAAGACAAAAAAAAATAAAACATGCTAAAAATATACTTGTCTCACATTGAATGAAAGTATTCACAAACTAAATGGAGTGATCGCCAAACTGATGAAGACAGCCAGGAATGAGTATGTCCCAGTACATAGTGTATCAAAAACACTATGCGAAGAATACCTGGAAGCATTCGGTCACTTTTTGCGGTAATCAAGCCAGCAGACTTTTCTGTTTATTATGACCCACAATACGTCTCCAGAGTGAATATGAAAGTAAGGTAGCCACAAATCAAGAAGCAATGTCATAACAAAACAGTATGTTCCAATGAAATCCATAAGGAAACAATTCATACTTTGTAAAAAAGAAAAAAAAAAGTATGCGATTTGGGACACATGGTATTAGTGGATAAATTGTTGTTTTGCTGTGTTCTTAAACTTGTTCTAGATATTTTTTTAAATAAATTGATTTATGCATAAGGGTTGCAAAAATAAGTCAAAAACAAAAAATTAATTACGCCAGGGTGGTGAGATAAAGTCACGAAATGCGTTGCTTTTGTGCATTTGACTCATTGATCAGGTAATTTCACATACCTTTAAAATAGAATTTAGTACAAATGAATAAACCCAAGCATTTATCTGTACTTACAACAGGTTGATAAGCTGGTATTTTCTCCCCAACGTAGAACATAAACAGCATGAACCCGATGAAACCAAACAGTTGTTTGCACATTGTGGACCAATCCACAGGACTAGGAGACGTATCCACACGGTTCCGGATGAACATGTCAAAATCCCACTGCAACTAAAGACAGAGAACAATCACTGGTTAATGGAAATTCTTATACCGTTCACATTCAAGACAAAATTATACAGAAATGTCAATGTCAATTTTATTTATATAGCACTTTTAAAAGGCCAATGGCCAGCCAAAGTGCTTTACATCAGCAGCAATAAACAATACGAGCAAAAGTAAAACAACAAACAAGTAAAAACAGTAAAAGTCAAACAAATAAAATATCCAATACAGGTGACTTAACTCAGCCAAAGGCCAAGGTAAACAAGTGGGTCCTAAGGCGTGTTTTAAAAGTAGAAAGGCCTGTTGCAGACCGCACAGAAAACGGCAAAGCACCACAGTGTGGGAAGCCGCTATTGCAAAGGCTCGATCTGAGCTGACCTGCTTGTCCAATAATAGAATTGAAAAATAACAGAAATAAATTAAATCAATTACACAAATAATACCATACTGGTGTGGTGTGGCGAGGCTTTATTTATGACTGTCCATTTTCAACATATGGTTCGAGTCCTGGCTGCCCCATGTCGAAGTGTCCCTGAGCAAGATGCCTAATCCCTAATTGCTCCCCGGGCCAAAATGTAATAAAAAGCCATGGGTTAGAAATACAATGTAATGTAAGTTGCTTTGGATAAAAGCGTCAGCTAAATGACCTGTAATGTAATGTAATATATGAGTTGAACATGTGCATCTGACATCACAGCAAGTCGTCATCATCTTACCGGCTCTCCCCAGTTCCTTCTCAAGTCAGGGTGGTCCCACTCGTACCAGGGGTCTCTCTCACACTGAGACTTTTCTGGTAACATTGGATAATCCCCATAGCTACAGAAACACACCGATGGCAGTTAGTTAATGGCATATACTAGCTGTATTACCGGCGATTCAGCCAGTGGTTAAGCATCAGGCAACCATAACAATACATGAGCTGAACGTTACTTTCCATTGATTGTTTTTTTGAATTTTATCTCTTCAAAATAAAGCTCACCCCTCGCCCTTGTCGGGATATGGCTCATAGTCCTCAACCGTCATGCTGTACTTCTTTGCTGCAGCAGCTTTCTCGTCGGGGGACGTCGGGCAAGGACCAGGCAGATCAGCCTTTGACACACCGGAGGCTGAAACGATGACATTTTTGAAGACACTCTTTTTAATAAATAAAACCCAAAAGGAAATAAGAATGAAGAAATTAAAATGCAATCCTGTCCAGCCTTCAGCCCGTGGATGTAACGTTAGCTGTTACGAGGAGCTTTACACTCATTCAAATTAGCGGTAGCTGCTCAGTTAGCAACAGACAACGTTAGCATGTCAAGGTTACTTTCATTCGAGCCGTTAAACTTTCATCTCTGGCACGTTTCTAAAGAGAAATGTATCCGAAAGTATAAACGAAGGAAATGCATCCACTGACCTGCTCTGCGTCCCGACAGAAGAGCGGATATGCCCGGACCTCTGCCTTTAGAGAGAGCCTGGGCCCACCGTCGGAAACCAACTCCTGCCATGTTTACTGGCTGCTGCCGTCCGGCACACACTAGGAAGTACGCATGCGCGAGATCTGAAGTAAGGGTCCGTGTAAGGACCAATTCATGCTAAACATATGTAAACAATGTCACGGCTGCGTGAACCATCCGCCTATTAACAGAAGCAATAATGGGAGTGACAAAAAATGTAACTGGTAGAAAGTGTATTTTATAGTGTTTTTATTTATTTATATGTATGTTGCAGACACCATCATATTAGAGGAACATGTGACACTCCTCCAGTAGCTGAAGGGAACTAGTCCTCAGAGTGAATGTGCTGAAGCTCTGAGGCCTGTTCCTCTTCCCATCAGATCCAGCTCAGGTGCACGAGTGCATTTACTGGGGGATCGTCACTCTGCTACCGGTGACAAATTGAAGAAAATCCGTCAGAGAAGATCTGCTATGTCCTTCTCCACATTCTCAATGGGGCAATGAGGTTCATACCTGCAGTAAAGGGAACACATTAGAGCCACTATTATGTATGACCTAATGAAGGGAGGATTCGGTTTCTAACTTGCAGTCCATGATGTATAACTTCACCTTTTGAAGGGCATTCCATCTGCTGCGATTAGAAACTTCTCAAAATTCCACCTTATGTCATTGACACTGATTGGGTTCCAGTAGAATTTCTTCATATCTCCAATGACAGGATTCACAAATGGCAACAATTCCTGTGACAGTACAATATAATCTATGAGTAAAAACACTCATCAACAAATATTGTATATTCAGATACTTTGTAAAAAGAATCCCACTACCTTTAGATATGTGAAAAGAGGATCTTCATTTACTCCATTCACTTCAACCCTCCCAAAGACAGGAAACTTTGGCACAAACCCACAACCAGGTCTCACATACTTTAGAATGTTGAGGGTTTCATGATTCACCTCTGAAAGATACAAGTACAATATTTTATTACTAATGAGTTGACCATTCATTAGGATTAAAAGTCCAGCATTCAAAATCCTTCTTCAAAGAAGTAACATCACCAAAAATGTACCCGAAGCACCAAAAGTAAAAGTAATAATTCTGCAGAATAATAATAATGTACAGTACTTGAGTAAATTTACACAGTTACTTGTGTAGAGTAGAGTATCCCTCTGGCACATGAGGTAAACAATGTATTTTCTCTGTAACATTTCAAAGGCATTAGTGTACTCACCAGGTGACTGGAGTCCGAATTGGTTGCTGGGAAAAGCGAGGACAGTGAAGTTGAGGTCGCCAAACATTTCCGTCAGCGCATTCAGTCGGTGGTACTGAGGGAACAGGACACAAAATCAGAAGGCTTTAATAAAAAAAAGGAAAACACAGGACATGTGTTATGAGATAATGTGATATGACTGCAATCAATCAGTGCTCTTTGTAGAATATTACCTCCTCTATCGTTGACCCTCAGAAGGTGGCAACGTTGATGATGAGAAGCACTTTACCTCTGTAGTTACTGAGCGGAACCAGCTGTCCATCCAGGGTCTCAACAGAGAAATCATAGATTGATTTACACGCCATTTTTGTACTTTAGCTTGTATATGGGATTGTAGTCAGTCAAGAGTGAGTATTCACTGGTCCATCCTGTTGGCTCATGTCATTCACTCAAACATAACTCATGGGTCAGCAATTCTTCAGCATGACTGACTTCATTGTTCTCCTGGGCAGAGGTGAGCAGGCAGGATTGTCATTTGTTCAGCGCAGGTGTTCCATGAAAATTGGCTGCTAATGTGGTGACAGCTAATTGGCTGTGGGCAAAAATAAAGATTAAAAATAAATTCATATGGGTCATGGTCATTGTGGCTGCATTCTTTCATCTGTAGAACACACACCGAGAAAAAAGTTTAAACGTTAACAATCGCATTTAAGAATATTTTGTATCATAGTCTGAAATCCCAGTCTAAAGTTACGGCACTTAACTATTAATAAATGTTATTTTATCATCGCAGAGTAAATATGTAAATGACAGAATGATCATTGACGTCAACCCGGAAAATGATAACTGGTGCGTTCACGTTACTCGTAAACGCGTAAGACCATAGTAATGACAGACCTAAGTCAACTAAACACAACTTCTCTAATATCTAGTTAACGACACAAATAGTATTTATTATAAGGATGAGGAAGGGTTAACTTTTTTTATATGGTTTAACAGTCTAATGACGTATCATTGAGCAATTGTTTGCTTTACCAACAGATTAAAGTGTATTAAGATACCAGGTAGCGAAACAAGTATATAAATATGTGGGTACCTCACAGTTACTCCAAATTATTGGCATTTGTGTTCAATAAATACCAAATTTGTCAGAATGTATTACGGTTTTGGACACTTAATAGGCCATTCAACACTCGAACACTCAAATTTAAAGTATTCTGATAGTCCCCAAATGCAGCATTAGGTTTGGGTTACACCTTAAACGCTTGAAAGATGCTAAAGGAAAACACGTTATTGTGGCACGTATGTAAAGAGCAGCGCGTCCTTAAAAACCCCGTCTAACACAGTTGAATCAGAATGGACGAAGAGGCCAAGATGCGGACGTAAGTGTCTTTAAACACGGGGGTTTTGTGTCTCAAAAAGCAGCTGGATGGTGTCCCCGGCGAGCTAGCAGGCGAGCTAGCATCGGTAGCAACAACAACTGTGGGATGTTACTGTTAGCTGGTTGTCGTATCTTCTTCATTTACGGCCGCCGACGTGAATTGTTATATTACCGCGACACGGCTTATTTAAAACCTATTTGTTTCCATATGATGTTACTGTCTTCTTTTCTTGCTTCCTAAGACTTTACATCTGGTTGTTTGGATCTGTGAATGCAGTGTCAAAGTTCAGCAGTAAAAAAAACAAGCTCGCATTTCTTCAGCAGGTGCCATCTTTTGGACTTGCCCTGGGAGGACGTCCTGGTTCCACATGTTTTATGCCATTTGCCACTGCAACACCTCGTCAGCCTGCAGAGGGTGAGCAAGCAGTTCCACAGCCTCATCCAGGTGTATCTGGCCAACTGCAGGACGTTTGATCTGTCCTCGGTAAGTCCTCGTGAGAGTCTGAATAGCCTGCAAGTATATGTTGAGAGGTTTGATGATGGACGTCTGCCCTCTGCCCTGTTTTGATATTTACAGATCGGACCTTCCATTTCCAAGGAGGCGTTTTGCTCCATGTTAAAGGACAACAAAGTTCTCCACAGCCTGTCTCTCCAGAGCTGTTCAGACTGGGTGACGGACAAAGAGCTGCTGCCGGTCATCGGCCAGAACCAGCACCTGCAGAGAGTGGACATGAGCGGGTGTGTCTGGCTCACCCGCCACGCCCTGGTGGCGGTGTCCTTGAGCTGCATGCACCTCCAACGCCTCGGTCTGGCTCACTGCGAGTGGGTGGACAGCCTGTCCCTGCGCAGCCTCGCCGACCACTGCGGGGGGCTGCAGTCCATCGACCTCACCGCCTGCCGCCAGCTCAAAGACGACGCCATCTGCTACCTGGCCAAGAAGTGTTCGAAGTTGAGGTCGCTGTCTTTGGCTGTCAACGCCAACGTCACTGACGAGTCGGTGGAGGAGGTGGCCAAGAACTGCAGGGGCCTGGAGCAGCTGGACCTGACGGGTTGCCTGCGGGTCAGGAACCAGTCCATCAGGTGTGTCTTCTTCTCTTACTTGAAAGTGTAACCCAGACAAGCTTGTGCAACCCCTGCCCACACATCTCACCTGTGCAGCCATCCTTAAGATCCTCTGCGTGCTGTGCTCACAGGACTCTCGGCGAGTACTGCCCCAAGCTGCAGTCCCTGAAGGTGAATCACTGCCACGACGTGACGGAGTCGAGCCTGGATCCTCTACGCAAGCGCAACGTAGTGATCGACGTCGAGCCGCCTTTACAGAGAGCTCTGGTGCTTCTCCAGGATGTGCTGGGTTTTGCTCCATTTATCAATCTCCAAATATAGTCTTTCGCCTGTCTATATGTCACGTGCACACAGGTAGGCAACAAAAGCAGTGAATAGGAGCTTCTGAGATGTTTGTATCCAAAAATGAATCTGAATGAATTAGGTTTATTTGCGGCAAATAAAGATGGCGGCGGCAATAATTTGTAATCAACATTTACTCTCCCGTTGTTGCAGGTGTCCTCATCAAAGCCGTCCCTCTCAACTGCATCACATGTGCGTGTGAGCGGCTCTAAGAAACAAGAAGAACCCGGATGTTTTACTGTCATGTTTAAAAATAACGCGGGCGAAAAACTTCACCGGAATGGGAACAAAGATGAACATTTTGTTTACGTCTGAAAACGACTGAAGAAAATGATGTACTATTTAGGAACTGCCGTCTCGTGTCTAAAAGATGTCACTGCACTGCTAGTTAATCATTCAGTGTTGTAATATTGTGGGTTTAAGGAAAATAAGTTCGAACTAAAGTAGGGTATTTCTGTTTGTTTTCAAAGCAAAGTACATACATTTTTTATGACATATTATGAAACATCCATCTTACGTTTCATTGAGAAACATTAAAATTATGTTTGAGTTTAATTAAACATTTAATTTTGCCTGTGTTTGCCAATTTGAAGAATACATTCTCCCAAATCATGCTAAAAACATTCTCTCAGTTTTGGTTTCATGTGTTCAGGATTTCATCACCTTCACTACTGAGACTTTTGCTGGCGCTACAATTCAATGGAGGCGAATGCAATTACGTCAGTGGTTCTGATTGTTTGTCTTCCAGAAACAAAGTCCTGGCTCCTCAGAATAATCCGCCGTCCTCATGGTCTTGAGTTGTTAACTACTTCTAAAATGAAAACTGCTGACCAGCTTTATGGCTCACGGTCGGATCAAACCTATCTTGCATGGCTGAAAGCCACCAGAGATTAGTGGGAAAGCGTTGACACGTTTTCTTTTGACGTTGGTGAAGCGATCCTTTGAATTCATATTGCTCATAAATTCATACGTGTATGGAAAAGTATTTGTCTGAAATAGTAAAGTATTATGACTGTTTCCATTAAATACTTGAGATGATTAAAAAAAAATCCTGTAACTGAAATGCTGTTAACCAATAATACAGTATATTAAATATATACATAAGAAATATTAAATAGCAAAATACCATCAGTTGAATATTGTCACTTTTCAAGCTTCATAAATCAGCTTTGATGTAACAGTATGATGTGCAATCACATTTTTCCTTCCCAGTCCTGATTCCAGTACTTCAATTTATCTGAAAGTATCTTTTGAACATTTGAGATATAATACTCATTTTTATTTATTATTTGGCAAGAGATTTCTGTGACAGGCTAAAAATGACCCCGATGTTGGAATAAATATAACCATTGGCAAAAACCCACTAAATTTAAACATTTACGGAAAGCACTTTATTTAATGTGGATAGATGAGGGTCACTTTGTCCAAACAATTATTGAATAGGGAGCCTGAAGATAAAAAATTGGACAATTTCTCCGAAGTGTTCCTGACCAATTTGATGTATAAAAAAAAATAAAAAACAATGATTCATTTTGATGTCAGATTCTTAATCTTGTAGGAATTAAATTCCTACAAATCCCTTGATTGTCAGGCATAAGCGGGTGCTATCGAAGCTTTGCAGCGGTGGAGTTTAACGAAGGAGATCACCTCTCCAGATGTTTAATGACTCAACGTGACACAAGGTGGCAGCAGTGAGTCGGCATACGTGTCCGTCATTGGGCTTTTTGAGAAGCTGTGTGACTTTCAAACCACAGTCAATATAGGAACAGTGATAGTCTACACTGTTATATATGTTGGACAAGAGTATATATACATATGTGGACACTTGAATGCACAACATGAGTTAGTGCTTCCCCTTGTTGATATGTGGTAAGAATCCCTCTTACAGTTTCCTCTGGTGGTCCGATTGGCAGATTATATTGCAACTTGCCTCTGTGACAACACAACAGGTCTATTTTCCACTTGATGGCTCGGTTTACCCCATCTGCTGTCCACAAAGCTGAAAGCTCACCAACAGAGAGTTGTGTTTGGAGGGCTTCAGGGATCGACCAGCATCCTTCTGTTGGCTTTGCTGATCGCCGTATTGCCTCCGAGGAGACGTCAGGGTCTCGTTAGTTACAAGGTAATCTTGAAATTTTAATTTCCTAAGCAACTCACGCTACAAAGCATACACAATAGCAACCCTTATTAACAAGAATGTAGCACATTTTAAGCAAAGAATTGTGGCATCTGGTTAACATTTTCCACCTCAATACAGCAAATGATGCTGGATTGATATTCATCTTGTATCACAATATGATGAGGAGGAATTACAATTTACTCACTGAAATAGCAAACTCCCTTCTCTTATCTGTATATAATTATTAAATAAATAACATCTTCAGTGTTCACGGGCCAAGTCCTCGTTGCTGCTCAGCAGTCAGCGGGTTAAAAACGTTTCAGACTACATTCATCATGTAGGACCTCAATTAGCATTGATCTGCTGAGGGGGGAAAGAAACATAGCTGCGTTATTATATACCGTGGAGCAATTTCTGCTCCAATGATTGAGTGTGTGGGGGGATTTCTAAAACATAACCGGCATAACATATTTTGTCTTCCTGTCAATAATCTGGCACTTGTCTAAACTATTGATCAATAGCAACTGATCATTTTATACCACGGCACAACAATGAAGTAGGTCCATTGTATTCAGTTTGTGGTTTTAGCCCGCGGCAGCGCATGTACTGTACTTATTAAAAGCAAGAATACATTTAAGTTTAACATCCGCTTTGAAAGTCATCTCTGGCTAACTTGTTGATGCTGCTCAGAGGCAGCGGGTGTGTGTTGGGCCGAAGAGTTCACACTACCCAGAGCTTAAAGAACCTTTGTGGTCGAAACTAAGTAATAAAATTACAATCATTTCTGTAAATCGTACAAAAGTGAGGGTTTCAACTTTTGGATGGCAGTTATGTCCACAGGTCAACGGCCACTGGTCTTCTGCCACAAAGCATCAGTCAAACAAGAGACTTGATTGTCAGTTTCACTTCAGGTAACCTGT